CAGACCTATTGCAACTGGTGTGAACTTGGCAGCCAAAAGTTAGCAGCCTGACTCCCGAGTCTACCCGAACAGTCATTGGCGTCGTTTATGTCTTATTTTTGAATATTATACATTCCTTTTTTTATAAATACGATAAAATTAATCCAGTTATTAAAGGTAAACAAGAAAATATTGCAAATGGATCCAATACATGTTTTTGAAGGTAAACAAAGAATTAAAATATTTGAAATATTAATTTTTCACCAACTTACGGACGGGACTTTCCACATATTTTTCTCAACCAGGTGAAAGCAAAAATGCTTTTACACACGATGAACTCATTATGGAGCTCACTTGAGTTGCAAATCGGTCCAAGGATGGTTTTTGGGAGTGAAACAAGAAAATTGAAAAACTGGAAATATCAAATTTTCCCAGAATTACTTGTCTTGCGACATTTTCTTCACAACCAAATGTATTAGAAACTGTGCCTAGGCACCATGGGCACCTTTCAGGGCACCTTTCAGGGCACCTAACTTGACTTGCAACTGGGTCCAAGGGTGGTTTTTGGGGGTAAAACAAGAAAAATGAAAAACTGTCAATATCAATTTTCCCAGAATTACGTGTCTTGCGACATTTTCTTCACAACCAAATGTATTAGAAACTGTGTCTAGGCACCATGGGCACATTTCGATGCATCTTACTCGACTTGCAAATGGGTCCAAGGGTGGTTTTAGGGGGTAAAACAAGAAAATTGAAAAACTAGAAATATCAATTTTTCCCAGAATTACTTGTCTCGCGACATTTTCTTCACAACCAAATGTATCAGAAACTGTGCCTAGGCACCATGGGCACCTTTCAAGAAACCTAACTTGACTTGCAAATGGGTGCAAGGGTGGTTTTTGGGGATAAATCAAGAAAATTGAAAAACTAGAAATATCACTTTTCCCCAGAATTACTTATCTTGCAACATTTTCTTCACAACCAAATGTATTAGAAACTGTGCCTAGGCACCATGGGCACCTTTCAAGGCACCTAACTCGACTTGCAAATGAGTGCGAGGGTGGTTTTTGGGGATAAAACAAGAAAATTGAAAAACTATAAATATCAATTTTTCCTAGAATTACGTTTCTTGCGACATTTTCTTCACAACCAAATGTATTGGAAACTGTGCCTAGGAACCATAGGCACATTTCAATGCATCTTACTCGACTTGCAAATGGGTCCAAGGGTGGTTTCAGGGGGTAAAACAAGAAAATTGAAAAACTAGAAATATCTATTTTTCCCAGAATTACTTGGCCTGTGACATTTTCTTCCCAACCAAATGTATTAGAAACTTTTGCCTAGGCACCATAGGCACATTTCGATGGATCTTACTCGACTTGCAAATGGGTTCAAGGGTGGTTTTAGGGGGTAAAACAAGAAAATTGGAAAACTAGAAATTTCAATTTTTTCCGGAATTACTTGTCCTGCGACATTTTCTTCACAACCAAATGTATTAGAAACTGTGCCTAGGCACCATAGGCATGAAACCACCCTTAGACCCATTTGCAAGTCGAGTAAGATGCACTGAAATGTGCCTATGGTGCCTAGGCAAAGTTTCCAATATATTTGGTTGTGAGGAAAATGTCGCAAGACACGTAATTCTGAGAAAATTTGATATTTCCAGTTTTTCAATTTTCTTGTATCACTCCCAAAAACCACCCTTGGACCCATTTGCAACTCAAGTGAGGTGCCCCATAATGAGTTCATCGTGTGTGAAAGCATTTTTGACTTCATTTGGTTGAGAAAAATATGTGGAAAGTCCCGTCAGTAAGTTGGTGAAAAATTAATATTTCAAATATTTTAATTCTTTGTTCACCTTCAAAAAGATGTATTGGATCCATTTGCAACATTTTTTTGTTTACCTTCAATAATTGGATTAATTTTATTGTATTTATAAAAAAAAGGAATGTATAATATCTAAAAATAAGACATAAACGACGCCACTGACTGTTCGGGTAGACTCGGGAGTGAGGCTGCTAACTTTTGGCTGCCAAGTTCACGCCAGTCCTATTGCAACCCCTTGAAGATAAAATGCCGTAAGCCATCCGGCCTCGAACGTATTTTTGTGCTCCGCTCCTCAAACGTTGAGCTCAGCAAAAAACGACCTACTTTTTGGAATAATCACAAACATGAATAACTTTTATCTACTCGCGCTCGGTACTGGCTTAGAAAAATGAGACATTTTTTTGGCTGTTGATAATTTTCATGTGATTTTCTCAATTAATTAGAACAATAATACTTCTCGAGACAAAACTGGTAGAGTTTTTAACCAGCAAATATAAGGTCTGTTCTGCAGAAATCAGAAATCACAAACCAGTTAGAGCGAATTTCATTGGTTAAAAACAGTCAGAAAACTAATTTCAACCAATGAAATTCACTCTGACTGGTTTGTGTTTCTGCAGAAACAGACCTATTTATATACTGGCAGTTTGGTCGAGGTTATGGCAAATGAGGGATGGCTTCGAAAATTACTACCCAAGTTCCCCAATCTTCTTGCACATACTGAAAGTATGAAGGTAGGTATACACGCCTGGCAAGTAAACATCTTGCATGCCAATTTTAATGCGATAGAATGAATGTCTAGAGAAAGTCTAAGGTTGAATAGAGAACGAAAACGATTTTCCCTGTTCCACCTCTCGCATTCCCAGCGCTTTTTGCTGGAGGTGGAACAGGGGAAATCGTTTTCGTTCTCTATTTAACCTTAGACTTTTGCTAAATATTTCATTCTATTGCATTGAAATTGGCATGTAAGATGTTTACTTGCCAGACGTGTATAGTTTAAGGACGTAACGGACAAAATTTGGGGGCTCAAAACTCTCTAGTCTGAGCCGTTTTCTCGCGTCCACTTTTTTGACATTGGTTCAAACCTGTTCTGAAAAAAGTGGACGCGATAATACAGCTCTGGCGGTATAATGAAATTAAATTTATTTAAAGCCTATAAACACACGGATCGTATTTTATAAAAGCCGCTTTCCAGCTGTGTGCTTCAAGCACGGTGCAGCACAGTGTTCTGTGTTTGAAACGCAAAAGTTAGCAGCTCTCGAACCACAGTACGGCTGGAACACGAACACGCGCTTGAAGCATTTGCGCGCGCAAAAGCTCGATTGCGTGCTCAAAAGCGTCAGCTGGAAAGCGGCTAAAGCTTACTTTTCATGCATCCGTTTCTCCGTCAATCCGTTGATCCGGGAGTATTCCTATTGGTCCAATATTTTGGCGCCAAAATATGTTCATGATTCTATATCCTCCTGCAAAAGACACAACACAAGTATAAATATAAACAACAAACTGTCAAATTTCCTAAACTAATGCGCATGCGTTTGTTTTTGAACCGATGCGAAATCTCGTTTCAAAATATTTTCAAACAGTTTTGTTATGACGTCATTAGTTCAACGCGAAAATGTAATGTTTTGATTGTTTTGAATTGGTTCAAGCTGGTTCAACCAATTTAAGCGAGAAAAAACGCTTTTAATAAACCTTTACATAAGCTGGGTTCGGCTATTCAGCGTGGAGTTGGAGTGGAGTGAACAGAGCTAATGGAGTCACCCTTAATACGGTAAAAAACAATACCCGAACCCTAACCCGAACGGCTGGAGTGCGAATGGAGTCACTCGGAGTGCATGGAGTGAGCAAGCCGAACCCACCTATACAGTGGCGATAATAGAGGTCCCGCCGCCATCTTGTTCCCAACCTCTTGTTACTTATAAATAATATATAGGAATTAAATGGACATCTATCATAAAAAATTGAAATCGACGTATTTGATGACCAGTATTAGGTCCATCAAATACGTTGTTTTCCATGATTTATGATGAATGTTCACCTAAATCCCATATATTCATATTTGAAAGTAACAAGGGGTTGGGAACAAGATGGCGGTGTTTTCAATATAAATTTATGCGATTTTAGAACCAATCAAAAATGAGACAGCAATTGTCGCCACTGTGGGTTATAGAGTCACTGTAGTGGCGATAATAGAGGTCCCGCCGCCATCTTGTTCCCAACCTCTTGTTACTTATAAATAATATATAGGATTTAAATGGACATCTATCATAAAAAATTGAAATCGACGTATTTGATGTTCATTATTAGGTCCATCAAATACGTTGTTTTCCATGATTTATGATGGATGTTCACCTAAAATCCCATATATTCATATTTAAAAGTAACAAGAGGTTGGGAACAAGAATGCAGCGTTTTCAATATAAATATATGGGATTTTAGAACCAATCAAAAATAAATGACAGCAATTGTCGTCACTGTGGTAATAGAGTCAGTGTAGCCGCTCACAAAACGAAACGATACAAACACAAACCGAAATTACCCCTGACTTTGTTTTGACGTATAGTATTGTTGACGTCGTGACTTGACATCAGTATTGCCAACTTGGTAAAATAATTACCAGATCTGGTAATATCGACCCCGGTTTTAGTAATGAAGATTTTCAAAATTTATCTAGTAATATTTCTGGTAATTTGACATTTCATTCCAGCAAAATTCTGGTATTTTCGCATTAGCAATCAATAATCCATTTTTCTTGAATTTATGGCCGTTTGCACCGTCCATTTTGAGAGAGGTTAACGATAATCAACGCTTAAAGTGACATTTTTCCCTGTTAGAATTTAACATTGGACATTTGAATGTGAAATTTTAACCAATAGGCAATAGGAAAGAAATCCGCAAAAAAATCGTTATTTCGCGTCTATGGAGACTAATCAAATAGTTATGCCAAAGGTTACCAATATACCTATCAGGGCCGGTTCATTCACCTTCTGATAAACTGTCAGGTATGCAATCTGACCCATATAAAAACGAAATTTGTTATCCCATCGGTTGGCCAGTTATCCGCCGACCAATAGAATCATAGAACGGTGCAATTATCTTGCAGATAGTTATAACCAAGGAGCTTATCTGAAGATGAACAAACCGGGCCTAATTATGTTTATCAATATCTGTAATGTTATGTTATACAGAATGAATTTTTTTTACAATAATGTATTTGTTTATAGGTATCCCGTGTATACATTAGGTATGCAGTGTTATTTTATCTGAATAAGTTTCATTTTTCCATATTAGATATTGTTGTTATTGCATTTTTATTTTAAACACCAAACGAAAAGAAAAAAAAAACTGAAAATAAATAATTGAAATCTAAAAATTTTAGCACAATTTTTGTTTAGCAACAAAGACCTAGTAATACTCTGGTATTGGCAGGATTGAGAAAAATCTAGATCCTGGTATTCCAAGTTTTATAATCTGGTAAAATGGCCATTCATATAGTTGGCAACAGTGCTTGACATGTGACGTCGTTATCTGCTGAAAATTGAAATGAATGAATAATGAAATGATAACAAAAAGCTGAAAGAAAACAGGGATTATAAACTTTTAGAAGTAATGAATTAATAAATGAATCCCATCCCTACAATTTTATAGTATTTTTTAATGTTTTTTGTGGAGTATCCTTTATAATTTTTCATTTATTTTAAACATGAATTTAAATGCGGATATATCAAGTGCCCTACAACTGCTGGAAGATATTAAACAGGGGGTTGGTGATCTTGGGGACCCAAAATTGCAAATGAATACTTTTCAAGACCTCAAAGCCCTATTATCAATTCTAGAGAACCCTGTATTCAGAAGTATCGTAACTGTACAGGATTCTTTGAGTGAGCTTAACCAACAATTGGGACAACACCCTTCAATTTTACCAGTAGATTTTGATATCACTTCGGCAGGAGAATTGGTACTGAATGTCCCACCTGCTGGTGAATTGTATGATCCTGAATACAGCGATTATGCTGGGAGGGACTTTGATGAGCAACGAGTACCTTCTGCTCCTATATCACCAAACTCGCCTCAATCATCAGCATTTGCTGCATCAAGCAATAAAATTCTTTCATTACTTAATAGTCAAAAATTAAATGGAAGTGTCTGTAATCCAGAGGTAAGTTGAAAAGTTACATAAAATAAGAAGCTAAATTTTATATTCTTTAATAATCTCAAAACCATTCAGTAATTTGAATGTTCCAATCATATCAATTTTTCTCCAGTAGGTCTTCCAAGTAGGTACTCTAGTATGCTCTAGTACTCAGTTATCAATGTAAAACATCCTCAATGAATTTGTAAAATAATAAAAAACTGCGTTGGAAACTTGAAAATGGCAAGTAAACAAGTTATGACACATAATGTGATTCATAGCACCAGCATCTGAACTTAGGTAGGTATTTAAGTACCCTTAATTTGTAGGAGACATACCTACCTATGCAATTTATCAGAGGCTTAATAGTTTCAAGTTTAGTTCTAGGTTCTCTTAAGGATTTAACTAGAGTACTATTTATCTGTAAGTACTACATAGTAGGTACATGGTTTTATTTTTTATGGTAGAATCATAATATCTGACTCATTGTGGGGAGTTATACTATACAGAGAGGAAATGTTTTTTAAAAAAATTGTTGGAAGTAGGGACATAAAAGAAATTCAAATAACATAAGGAAAAAAAGAAATTTGTGACTGGTCTCTTATAAAAAATAACAAGAAATATATAATGCATAGGTACCTACCAGGATTTGAGAACTGTAAAATCAAAAAACGCTTTTAAGAACAATGTAAAAGATCCGAGAAAACATCACATATTTCAACCTATGGAGTAGTTTCTTTCCTTTCTTTAAGTTTAGAGACTAACTTAAATTAATGAATAGAGTTGCTTTAGCTTGGGGTGTCAAAAGTTGATGCAGTTCATGTTCAAAATATGATCAGTTTTAAACATTGCACATACTTGAAGGTGTTGAAGCGAGTATTAAAGGTTGGTTGCGAGGTTGGTTGAAACAAAAAAAAGGGATCTGGACTGAAAAGTGCTGATGATGATGATGATACCCACCATAGTCTGAATTTTGTATGAAGTAGTGTGCTGTCTTTGTGGCCACCACAGTAGTGCAGGCAGCATATGTAACCCTGGGTCTTTTAACTACATATTTCATATGTCCAAATGTTGCTCTGGTTTTCTCATTGTCAAGACTTTAGTGTCATCAAATCCTCTTTGTGATAAAAAGCACATTTCACAACTGGTGGAAATGTAACCTAAAACATAAATAGCCTTAAAAATTTTCACTAGTGAGTGGAGCTATTAATCAGGGATCGACCGATACGTTCTTTTTTTTTAAAAAACCGATATTGCCGATACCGATACGATATGGATTTATAGAAGGCCGATACCGATATAAGGCCGATATATATTTATCTGTTTTCTCCAGGCTTTTCCTTAGTTTGAATGTTTTATTTGTTTTCTCGCACCTTTTCCTTTAGTTTGAATGTTTATTTATTTGTTTTCTCCTAGTTTTGATATTGTTTGTTCGAGTTCAGATAAGCAGAAAGTTTAGTTTTTTTTTTAATAAATAAATAATTTTGAATTTCAGTTTAGATAAGCAGAATGTTAAGTTTTTTTTTTTTTTATATAAAAACTTAATTAATTTAAAATAAATTTATGAGAAACAATTTCTAACATTTACTTTCTTCTTAGTCACACCTATATGTACCATCCACAATTATTAGCTCTTTTAAGCTTCAAAAAAGTCTTACTGATGATTACTGATCTTCAAAATATTATTTGTATCGGTCTAAAGTTATCGGCCAATGAAGGGCCGATATGCCGATACACCGATATACCTGAAAAAGGCCGATACGCCGATATACCGATATGCCATATCGGTATCGGTCGATCCCTGCTATTAATTCCATGAAACCTTGCTGTTGAGATTCCTTTTAATTTGTAGGGCCGAAAGCTATTTGTACCTCATTTGATTTTGCTTGCAATGAATATTTGTCCAGTAAGGTTTTATGTGCAGCGTGGTTTTTGCCTCCGCAGCCCAGTAATTTGGCCATCATATTTACTATTGACATTATAATGGCAATATTACCGGGCTGCGGCGGCGAAAGTCAGAAAAATGTGTTTTCAGTTCCAATTCGCTTTCCAGTCTAACCGCCATCTGATTCTAGAAGCCGTCTAGTATCGGCTGACTAGTCTTCTGTCACGAATTTCTGTTGAAGCATTTTTGTATTTGCACCCAAATAGAAAGTGTTCACGTTTTAGCTCTTAAGATACTAAGTTTCTTGCTTTCCACGTTCAAAAAGACAGGTGTTCTCATGGGCTTTAGTTTTGAGATTTTCTACTTCGTTAGATTAACACTTTTGTGTTGGGTTTCTATGTCGTAGAAGCTTCTAAGTTAAATCCAATTTTTATTTCAGATTTATAAGTGCAGAGCTTCTTATTGATTTCATCAAGCACATATACATGATTTTGGAAATACATTCTATGCCGCAATATTGACCCTCCGCTGGCCCCTAACAACCATTTTATAAGAGCTATAGCTTCTATAGAATCAACTATAGCCTTTATCAGACCAAAAGAAATTATGTTTGTGAAAAAAAAAGTATACCTACAGCCAAGATTTCAATCTATCGAGTTAAATTAACACCTTTTCTAGAAGGTGACTAATAAAGTTTACTGCAATCACACATTCAACATTTTGTTATCTTAAATGGACGTGGGTAATTAAAAAGTACAATTAAATTAAGTATATTTTATGTTCTTGTTTATTGGAGAATACTAATAAATTTTTACCATTTATGAAATTTAATTTTATTTTTTTTTTGATATGCCCTTTTTTTATTATCTATGCATTATTAAGTATGGCTAAAGGTAGATGGAAGGCCCATTAAGCTAGCTCCTCTAGAATTTTGGCATTCTGCCCTGCTCAATATTTTATGCCCTTTGACATTTTTTGGACCTCAATTTATGGTCTTTACTTTATCAAAGAATTTTTTTTAATGAGGTTGGTTCTGAGACTTAATAGTAGTTTATGGGAAATTTATTCAAGAGCCCAGAAAAATTTCAAAATTCTGGAATTGTTGAATTTTCATTTCTTCATGGTTCTAGAAAGTGTGCTAATAATAAAAGCAAGCACTTTCAAGTCATGTTAAATGATATTCAAAAAAGTTTTAAAAAAACTATTTGCTTAGCCCTAAGCCTGAAATTTTGAGCTATGCCAAAATTCTATTGTAAGGGCGCTAGAGTATTTTCGATAAGTGAGTCAAATAGGCTCTTAGACAGTAGAGACGAGACGACCAAAATTATGCAAATACATATTATGATAATTATTGACAAACGATGATTGTTATAAAACAGTGATTTAATGGAAAAATGCAAGTATTGTAAATATAATATACCTTGGTCAATTCTGCCTGTTGCAACATTGAAACTATTCTTACTACTACAGCTAACAGTGCACTGACTGGTGCAGCTGTGATCCTCTCTCACGATGTTCGGACATGGAGAGGGACTGCAATCAGGGCGACATCTCTCATAATTGAAACAAACTTTTCAGTGCAAATACATTTCTACTACTTTTTTTTTTCTTAACTGGCCTGTGGCAAGCTAATTAGTGTGAGAATTGGTGTTTTCTTGAATGTTAAATCACTATCCCGGACCAAAAAGGGCGAGTTCTACATGAAAACTTGTCTATTTTAGCCAAGGTCAGGTGTAGGAGTACCTTCGAGTGGCTATTAATCTTTGTTGTGGCTATTAATGTTTTGTGATTGATAACGCTTTATTGCAAAAAAAAAAAAAAATAAAAAAATTATTATATCGGAATTACAGACAATGGCTCTTTTGTTTCAGACATTAAGATTACTACAAGGGGGCAGCAGTTTTAACGCCCATGATGACGATATAATACACAGATCTCCATCTGTTGGTAGTGATAATTCAAAAACTGGATCGGATCATTTACCAAACAGTGAATGGTCCCAAGTGGAGAGCATAGACTTAGTTAACGATGGTACCGGATTGGGTTTTGGTATTGTTGGGATGAGGAATATGGGCGTAGTTGTTAAAACTATTTTGCCTGGTGGTGTTGCTGACAGGGATGGCAGATTGCAAAGTGGAGATCATATTCTTCAGGTATGTGTGTAGTTATACATAACTATGTTTTTATTTTAAAAAAAACTTGGAGGTACGGTTTTATTATCAGGAAGTTAAATTTAAAAAAATGGCAAGTTCAGGATTAATAATTATTGAGTCAGAAATATGTGTAGTAGGTACCTAGTTGTAGAAATAAACTTTTCAATAGTCACGCCTCAAAGAAACAGGATTAATCTTGAAAGGCAACTTAAGTGGAACATTTGATATTCTGTGATGTAGAAAGTATTTGAAAAAAAAATATTGGTGAAATTATATTAATAATAATAATAATTTATTGACGGATTTACCAATATAGAATAATCTTATAAATATGAATACTAATATTAAAAACAATTGTTCAAACATATACCACAAAATTTTCTTTTTAATCTTATTTCTAAATGAACTCAAAGGCATGGAAAAAAGTCCAATTGTGCGCCATTCCCGGAATGACACATTCTTTGAATTGGTTTATTCAAAGAATAATTTCTGTTATGACACTCTAAATAGAAAGTATCTTTATTTCTTGTATTTCTTTGTGGCACGTTAAAAGCAATCTTTCCAAGAAGCTCGAGGTGATCATTCCATTTACAACCTTAAACAAAAAGACCAAATCTTACATTTCTCTACGGCTTTCTAGAGATGGAATGTTCAGTAATTTAAGAGTGTCAGAATAAACAATGTTCTCTGAAGGAATTTTAAGTTTAAATGCTATGAAACGTAACAATCTCTTTTGCACCCCTTCTAAATTGTTAATGTTGACACTTATAGAAAGGTGACCATACACAGCTTGAGTATTCTAAAACTGACCTGACAAGTGAACACATTTTTAAAACAATTGATGTTATTAAAATCAGACAAACTTCTCTTAACAAAACCCAACAATTTGAAAGCCTTATTACAAATAAATTCATGATGGGCCTTGAAATTTAGAGTTGGATCGAAGAAGACCCCTAGATCTTTAAAAGTTGATAATGGTTCTGGTAAATTATTGTTGATTGAGTAGTTAGGTATAGAAAATAGGATGAGAGTTTCTGTAAAAAGAAAAATAATGAGCAAATTATTTTATTCTCTTTTTACAGATTGGAGATGTTAACTTACACGAAATGGGTTCAGAACAAGTAGCAACTGTGTTGCGACAATCAGGTACCCATGTGCGATTGATTGTAGCTCGTCCTGTGGAATTGTCGTCTTCCGAGTACAAATATCTCGGAAGTTCCGCTCCTATAGTGCCTACAAAACTCTTACATGATGCGACTGAACTTGATAGATATCTAATTCAGCATAAGTATCCTCCAGTCTTTCGAAAGGAAAGCGATATATTTTCATTGGAGCTTGCAAAATCATACGGTTTATCTCGAATCCCTGCATCACCCTCTCTGCCATTGCTGAACCTCGATGTCTCAGTTAAAATGCCCGAAATGGAGAAGTTTGTTGTTGAATTGAGGAAAGACACAAATGGCCTGGGTATCACCATAGCGGGATACGTGTGTGAAAAAGAAGAGTTATCTGGAATATTTGTTAAAAGCGTTAGTAAAGGCAGTGCTGCTGATCTTAGTGGCAAAATCAAAGTCAATGACAGAATTGTTGAAGTGGATGGGCAAAGCTTGCAAGGTTATTCTAATATTCAAGCAGTGGAAGTACTTAGAAATTGTGGCAATGCTGTCAAACTATGTCTGGAACGATATTTGCATGGACCTAAATATGAACAGCTTCAGCAAGCAATAGCAGCAAGTGAAACGAAGCCACCGTCAGCTTTAAATTCCCCACGGTAATGGCCGTTAAATGTACCACCCTTTAGTAATGCTCTTTTCTCGATGTTAACCACTATTTTTCCTCTATCACTTCTCTACTAATTCTCATAGAATGTAGTATTTTAACTAACTCAGGGTTTATGGACTTTGCACTATGTACTGTTAACCCATTTTAGTAGATTTGCTTCAAGGGACATTCTGTATGAATTTGGCCACCTTTGTTTTGAGCTTTATATTTGTTATCTTCCTGTTATGTTTGAAAGTTCTTTCTTCTATCGTTTATAATTTAAAATTAACAAAATTGTGTGAATCATTTTTCTTTTTTTTGCCTAAAAATATGTAATTAGGAAATGTATTATTTTACAAAATAAAAAAATAGGACTATAATTCCCAAAATGTTTCAAACAGAATATGAAGATTAGAGCCCATTGTCTAAGGTGGCTTGTTTCATATGAAATGCCCCCTACATTTCAGATATCCCAAAGAAGAGGAAAGTCATTCAAATCCAGGCAGCGACCTTTTTAATGAGTTTATTAGAAAAGAAGATCTTCCCTTACTTACTGATGAAGAACTGATATCAAAATGGTCTTGTATGATGGACTCAGATGTTGAAATTGTCATCGCACGACTGAAAAAAATTGGTGAGAAGGGTGGCCTAGGGATAAGTTTAGAAGGAACAGTAGACGTCGAAGATGGTCGTGAAGTTAGGCCACATCATTACATTCGTTCCATTCTTCTTGAAGGTCCTGTAGGCAAAAACGGAACACTCAAATCGGGCGATGAGCTGCTAGAAGTCAACGGCCATCAGTTATTGGGAATGAATCACCATGAGGTTGTAAGTATCTTGAAAGAATTACCTCTAAATGTTTGCATGGTTTGTGGCAGAAGCCCTTTAAATATATTTAAAGAAGAAAAGTATCCAGAAAGAAGCGTCCTAACGAGAAGCCTGAATAATCTTCTTCCTGCATCCGATCGATTAGTAAAAGCAAAATCGGATGGTTCTCTCGCTAGTAGCATAGCTGTAGCTAGTTCTTCTGAAACGCCTTTCTCAAAAATGAAATCCAGAAGCTTAGAACCCTTAACAGGTCTTGCCATGTGGAGTTCAGATCCTCAAATCATCGAGCTAGTGAAAGGAGAAAGAGGTTTAGGTTTTTCTATTTTGGATTACCAAGATCCAATCGATCCTAATGACACAGTTATTGTAATAAGAAGTTTGGTGCCTGGCGGTGTTGCTCAACTAGACGGACGACTAATTCCAGGGGATCGTTTGCTGTTTGTTAATGATACGGTATTAGAAAATGCTTCTTTAGACCAAGCAGTACAAGCTTTGAAAGGAGCTCCAAAAGGGATAGTCAGGATTGGCGTTGCCAAACCATTACCCATTCCTGATACTGTAGCACATGGTTCTCTAATCGACGTCGATCCGGATCGTTATTTAACTTCTGATTCGTTTAATTAATTATTGTTGAATGACAACTTAAATACTCTATTTTTGCAAGCTCATATTTGTTTATTTATAATTGGTTGGATTTTTTCAATTTTGTCTTTATATTTACGTTGTTATATTTTAGTCTGTGACAAAGACAATTTTTTAGCGTGTGAGCCATTCAAAAAGATCCACCCATGATAGCAATACTAGCCCTTAGCCCCTGTCATGGTTGTTTTTCCATTCTAACAACTATGACGGCTAAAATTTAAAATGCAATGCTTTTCCTATGTATTGATTTGGATGGCTCGAGCTTTATATTTTATTACGAAGTATTAATAAGCAAGTTTCAAGTCAATTGTTAACAATATCTACCACCTCACAAGCGGGTTTGAATTGTGAAAAATATGGTTTTGCAGCAAGGTTGTAATCTGGCCAAAACCTCGGTTTTCAAGTAGCTACTCACTCAACTACTCTGTTCCTTGATATTAAACATTCAGTAATGGAGATTACTAATGAGTTAAATTGGTTCACAAGCCCGATTCGCACCTGTGCATTTCTCCAAAAGTTTTTTCTTTGGTGCTTCTTAGGGTATCCTGTCATAATTTATTTTATTACCCTTAAACCTGTTTGCAGAAAATTTACAATAATTGATGATAGAAAGTATCGTAAACAGATCAAGTTAAATGGTGAAATAAATATGTATCAGCTTCTTTGGACAATTTCATTGAAAAGCTTGAATCAATTGATTTAAATGCTAAAAGATAGCAGATCAAATTTAAATCTTAATAAAAAGTGATTACATAGTTGAATGTTTGATTTGATGTGGATACCTCTGACGATTTATACAAGAATATGCTACTCGTAGACACAAACAAAAACAATACATAAGTATGTCTATAATAGTGTGCAATATCAAAGTATGTCTGTTACCAGTTTTTTGTAAATACGTATAGCATGGTATGCAATAAGAAATAGAAGACAAACGCAAAAAAAAATGGAGGTTAAAATTAAATGTTATAATTGAAGAGACATCAATAAACAATCAAAACCCTAAATTTTAATATGAAGGCCAGTATTTTTTTTATTGAGGAAAGAAAATAAGGCAAAATGTTTGAACCACTTGCTTATCAGTATTTTAAATTATTACATTTAATATTTTTATAAGGGACTCCTCAACTTAGTTTTAACAAATAAAGGCATTGGCTAAAATTCTTAAATCATGTAAATATTACTATAATAATAAATACAATCTATACATACTATATATTTATCAATCAAATATTCAGCAAGCAATTCTATAGTACTTACTTATAATAGTACTCAAAGATCAAAGTATCACTGCCCTAGATAATCTATGTCAATATAGTGACATTTATTTAGAAATTAAACATTTCATGTAGAGTAAAATTTGAAATTTCAATTAATAAGTCATAGAATTTTTTTTGAAATGACATCTAAATTATTTTTCTTGGAGATTATTTAAGTCTGTGAACTAATATGTGATATGAATTCAGCTTTAATCATACAATTTCCATCAAAAGTACATGTATGTAAGTCAAGTTTTTAGGGTGACACTAAATAAGTTAATATACATACGCATAATTAAATGAATCAATCAATCAATCAATCAAAATATACTTTATTGTCGGAAAATAAATTTCATTGACAAAGCATGATCTTAAATAATGTGCAAGTAATTAAAAATTATCGGGTTATAAAAAAAAGAGGTACAATCAAGAAAATAAAAAATAAACATAAACATAAATGTCAAAGCATAATCCTAAGCAACACATGTACAATTTTTACTACATCAAACTATAGAGTCATATAGAAGGTACAGCCAATACAGAAAAAACATAAAGGTTGCGGTCAGAACAAAACAAAACAATGAAACAAACAAAATTAAAATTTTTCATTTAAAAATTCATTAATATGATAGTAGGCTTCTCCATGTAAAAATGTTTTGAGCTCTAGTCTAAACTTTTTAAAACCACCTATCTGCCTTAAGTTAACAGGCAGATGATTAAAAATTTGTCTACTTTTATAAATTAGTGAATTTTGCGTCAATGCAGTCTTGGGTATAGGAAGCTGAATTTTAAGAAGTTGCCTAGTTGGATAAGTTCTTGGATATTCTAACTCATCATAATGTTTTTTGTGCATAAGGCAAGCAGTTTCCATGATAAATATACAGCATACTGTAAGTATTTTATGTTTTAAAAATAGTGGCTTGCAATGCTCCCAATATCCAACCCCACACAAATAGCGCACTGCTCTCTTTTGAATGACAAAAACAGAATCAAACAATTTATTAGAACAGTTACCCCAAAATGCAATGCCATACCTGATATGAAATTCAACCAACGAGAAATAAACCAACTTAGCAGTATTCAAACCAAGTTCATTTGACGCTATTCTTACAGCATAGCAACCACTTGCCAATCGTTTGTTTAGATTTGTAACGTGCTCATTAAACTTAAGTTGAGTATCAACATGAATACCAAGAAATTTACAGCTAGTTTTATTTTCAATTGTGTGTGTGTCTAATAATAAATCATCAAAAAAAAATTTAAATGTCAATATGTTGGTTTTCTTAGAGTTAAAACAAAGCAAGTTAGAGTCACACCAGCTCTTTACAAGATTTAGGTCTTCAGAAATAATCTTTTTCAACTCTTCAATATTTTTTCCGTTCCAGGACAGAGTAATGTCATCAGCGAATGATGTTATTTTAGCTCTAATGGGGAGGTCATTAATATCATTTAAATAAAGTAAAAACAATATTGGTCCCAACACAGATCCTTGTGGAACACCATTGGTCACAGCCAAGTTTGATGACTGAGTATCACCAATCTTAACAAATTGTTCTCTTCCCGAGAAATAAGATTCAAACCATGAGTATGAGATTCCTCCGAAGCCATAAATTTCTAGTTTTTTAAGCATTATTTTATGATTTACGCAATCAAAGGCTTTAGAGAAATCACAAAACACAACGGCGACAAGCTCACTTTCATTAAGACTGACGAATACCTGTTCCAAAAGATTAAACATTGCATCATGGGTGCTCTTTAATGGTTGGAATCCAAATTGAGTGTCGCTTATTATGTTGTGTTTTGAAAAATATTTTAACATTCTTTCTTTAACTAACTTTTCAACTATTTTTGACAACGTCGAGAGAAGTGATATTGGTCGATAATTACATGGGTTGTCCAATTCGCCACCCTTATAAAGAGGCAACACAATAGCTTTTTTCAGGCAGTCTGGAAATACTCCTGTTAAAAATGAAATATTAATACATTCAGACAAGACATATAATGCATTATCAGGCAAGTTTCTAAGCAAATTTATTGAAACATTATCGTGCCCACTGGATTTATTGTTTTTTATTCCTCTAAAGATTTCATTAAGTTCTAATACGTTTGTAGTTTCCAGTACAAATGTGTCATTTATTTTAACATCCAATAAATAAGAACCAGGATCCACATTACTTTTCAAGTTTTGTTGTAAAGTATCAGCAACACTACAGTAGAAGTTGTTGAGAATATTGGGATCTAATTTAACATCTGTTTGAAGAACTGAGTTTTTACCAGTTAACTGATTAATTATTTTCCAGTTTTCTTTGCTGGCATTTTTGGAGGAGTTTATTCTATTCTGATAAAACTTTTCCTTAGCTGCTTTTAAAACACTTTTGTAAATTTTTCTATATCTGCAGAAATAACTTATGAACTGAGGACAATCAGTAAATTTGCGAATGTTTTGTAACGAACGCATGTTTTTTGATGAAACTTTAATAGCGGGAGTAATCCAAAGTTTACTTTTCTTTTGCTTAATTTTTTGTAATGGAAAAGATTTTAAAAATGCATCAGTTACTAATTTTTGGTATTCGTTTAGTGGTGATTGACAATTCAAAACTGCTGGCCAATTTAATTCCTTGCAAATATCTTTAAATTTTTTATAATTGTTGCTGCTAAGTAGTCTACCAACTTTATATTTTGGTGGTTTATTTATCGCAAGTTGAAATTTTGCTAAAACTGCCTCGTGATCCGAAATGCCTACAGGAATTACACTACAGCTAACAAACATTTGCTTTAAGACAAAATTTGAACACAGATAATCGATTTTGGTTTGAGAATGAACAGTTATTCTAGTAGGTTCGTTAACATACATCTCTAGGTCAAATGATTAAAACAAGTTAGACAGAATTTGCTGTGCCTCTGATCTGTCATCATCAAAATTTATATTAAGGTCTCCCCCTAGTATCAAACCTGCCTTGGGTGGCAGTTTTGATAAAAGAATTTCAAGATTTTCAAAGTATTGCTTTAAGTTTGAATAATAGGGGGGCCTGTATATGCACAAAATGTATAAATTATTTTTTTGTTATATAACAAGGAGAATTCAAAAACATTTTCAATTAAAAGGGTATTAAACTTTGTTATGGGGGTAACATCAAAAGATTGTAAAAATGTCTTATTGACAAGAATAGCAGTTCCACCATGAGTTTTACTATTTCTACAATAGAGAGACACCAGAGTATAATTTTCAATACAAAATGGTTCATTTTCTGCTAGCCAATGCTCAGTTATAAGTAAGAAAGCTGGAAAATTGTTATCTTCCAACAGCAGATATAAATCATCAAGTTTGTTCCTTAGCGATTGTATATTAATTAGAAATACGGAGACGGCGGCGTTATTATTTTTTATGTTTTGTGCCGCGCTTGCGCAGTTTGTGGAAGAGGTTGGTCTAAAAAATTTACCTCTGGAAAATTATTACCCTTTGAAATAGTGTCGTCATTAATACTAAAGATATTATCATCTATTGGGACATATTTAAGATTTGTTATGCTTTTTACATTAAAGTTCTGAACACACTGTTTTATCAATTTTCCAGTCTTAAACAATCCGTACTTATCTCCATGAGAAAAATTACCAACCAAATCCAAAAAACCTATGTTAATAGAGAATATTTGTAGTTTTTGAACAACTTCCCTAAGTTTTTGATTTACATTCCTAACATACAAACATTTCTTGCCATATTTATTTTTATATGGGAGGTTGCAGACTAACAAATTCGTTCTAAAACACTTATTTGACAGCAATATTATGTCATCTTTTCGGATATCAGTGTCGTTAAGTCCTGCTATTAAAACAATATAGTCCTTATCGGTCAAATCCTTCACATAACAGTCTGAACTATGTATAATATCCCTTATTGTAGTATAAGGTTTTGTCACCAGCTGAGTTACATAGTTGTCCCCCACGGATTTGTCTATAGCATCATATAACATTCTTCCAAAGTCATCAGTTAAAATAACAATCTTATTCTTAGAATTTTTAACCTTTCTTAAATTAACAAGCGAGTTTATAGCACTTATGTCAGCAATATTACCATCTGATTGACTTTTTTGATAATCCTTTTTCGAAACTTTACGCTGCTTGAACTGGAATAATTCTTTGTTGATCTTTTTATTCTCACTAGCATATACATCATTATCATTCTCAAGTGTACTAATTGTTGTTAGCATTTGATTTTTCATTGACTTCAAATCATCTAGCTCTTTTACCAGTTTATCACGTTTCTCATCTTCCTCCACCATTATCTGCTGCAAATTCTCGTTCCTCTGTATCAGTTCATCAATACGTTTGGTGTCAGATTTACTAGATAGCTTGATCTTTTCGATTTTTTTATCTAGACTTTTATTTTTCACTAGAACTTCTTCATATTTCTTTTGATGTATAGTAATATCTTTCTTTGTGCCAACAATTTCCCTTTCTAAAGTTCTAATAATTTTTTCTTGACTCTTGATTTTTTCTTCCAGTGAATTTTCAACAGAAAAAACATGAATTAAGTAATTTTGTTTCCAAGTTTTTATTCTTAGGTCGGGTAGTATCAAACTATTTTAACAGATAACTAGCCAACTTCTGGAATTACTATGAGAAGTAACGTCATTCCAGAAGTTAACTTTCAGCTATTTTGTCAAAATAGTTTTATAATACCCGCCCTAAATATAGTAAATACCTCGCATATTATCTCCTTTTAAAATAATTCATAATTGATGTTCGACCCATATGTACATAAATTGAAATAAAAAGGTGATTTTAGCGTTTACTATTAGATAGAAGCCAATGCCTTTGTGCAGATAATGTGTTATGTACTTAATGGTACTCATTACCTTTAGTATATGCTAATACAATATTAATTTTTAGTGATATAAGGAAATGGGGTGAAATAAATAATTAGTTACACAAATGGACCTAGTTATTGTTAATCTAGTTTTCAAATCCTTTAGTGGAAATAAAAAATAGGATCAGTGATTCAGTAGCATTTATAAATTAGTGATACAGTTGGGCCCATTTTTATATGCCAACTTAGACATAAAATAAGCACAATTTAATGAACGTTTATCTTAGATTTAACTATTCAATCTACAAAATACATCCCTTTTCCTTACAGCAATATAGTTAGTTTTTTTGTACTCAAATTTATAATCTCGAATCTCATTTTATTCATAACAAGGCACTTAGTCTAGGAAAATTGTCGATTTCCAAAAAAAAAATTCCTACCCAAATGAACTTTTCAGGGATGATAGGGGGCGGGTGGGTGATCATAAAACCGAAAATATCAAACATTCACCCCTCTGGCGTTTTGCGCTATAGGGGTTGAAAGTGCGCCATTGGCGATTACTTGGTACCTATTGATTTTACAAAAAAATGTTTCAAATAAAAGATGTGCAACATTATTTGATCTACAATGTTTATCTAAAGACGTTTTTGATTAAGGGCCGTCTGTGGTCATAAGGGCCGTTTGAAATTTTATAAGGAAAATGAAAAATTGTAATCAACGTGAAAAAATTTCCTACAACACATACAACATTTTTGCTTTATGAAGTTTTTACTCACCCCTTGCCGTTTTTCAATAGGGGTAAATATAATAAAGAATAAGATTACATTTCCTACAATTTTTCTCCATAAACTTTTTTTATAACTCACCCCCATTCAGCGGGGGGACACTTTCTTTAGGAAAATTTTAGTTTTTAGGGGCATATATTAATTTTTTTTTTTCTTTTCTCGCCTTTCGTGTATATAAAAAGTTGCAATTAAAATTGTATTGAAAGGATTTTTTTTCCCATCAGCTTTTTGTTTTTAGGGGTAGTTCGCCTATTTTCAACTTTACAAAAAATTTTTATTAAGAATACTTGTTCATTTTATTATTTTGAGCACCTTTTCTTTATAATTTATTTTTGTAAAGTTAAAAATAGGCGAACTACCCCTAAAAACAAAAAGGTGGTGGAAAAAAAATCCTTTTAATACAATGTTAATTGCAACTTTTTATATGCACTAAAGGCGAGAAAAGAAAAAAAATTAATATATGCCCCTAAAAACTAAAATTTTCCTAAGGGAAGTGTCCCCCCGCTGAATAAGGGTGAGTTATAAAAAAAGTTGATAAGGAAAAATTGTAGGAAATGTAATCTTATAAAACTTTTATTGAGAATTTTTTTTTGTAGAAAAATAAAAAAACTTCAAACTACCCCTATTGAAAAACGGCAGGGGGTGAGTAAAAACTTCATAAAGCAAAAATGTTGTATGTGTTGTAGAAAATTTTTTCACGTTGGTTACAATTTTTCATTTTCATTATAAAATTTCAAACGGCCCTTATGACCACAGACGGCCGGCCCTTAATGAATGTTTGATATTTTCGGTTTTATGATCACCCACCCGCCCCCTATCATCCCTGAAATGTTCATTTGGGTAGGAATTTTTTTTTGCAATGCATGTATTTTTCGACTATTTTCCTAGACTAACTGCATTTTAAATTAATTATCAAATTTTTTCGTTAAATTTGAAGACATATATCGCAAAATTGTGATAAAATGATAATAGGAATAATTACGATATTTAATAAAAAAAATGTTATTGTTACTAAAAAAGTCTTTTAGCAATAAAAAACATTTGTATAGATTTACTAAATAAACAAATTTAAAAGTAGTTATTTGGTGGTTTGTTTTGACATTAAAGCTAAAGGCAGAGTGTATTTCCGTTCTTATTGCTGTTACAGGTAAGTTGACCAATAGATGTGAGTAAACCTATGGGAAATATGGAAAAATTTGCTTCAAATTGACTTTTTTTTCTGATGATTTTCGATAGGGTTCCACAGTTCATCTTTTGACAAGTGAATAATACTTTATCTATCAACATTATGTACATTATTTTTCAAAATCAGTACGGTTACACTTATTTATGGGTTGACCGAGGGGTGTGATACTTCCAAGTATTTTGTACACCTGATTTTTGATTTTCATTACCTTAATGGAAATCAATGAAATCAAAAATTAGATTTGGTAAAATCTCATGATTTCACTTGATTTCAACGATTTCCTGAGATAATTATTTGATTTTACTTGATTTTGCTGATTTCACTTGATTTTATTAATTTCATTGATTTCCCAGATTTACATTGATTTCTCAAGAGTAAATGTGATTTTACTAGATTCACACAGATTTCATGATTTCAGTACCATTTACTATACCTATGTCGAGATCGAAATTATTGGTAATGACTCATAATAATGTCGAGAAGTTTTACTGTGCCAATACTACCACTTCACAGAAATTACACCATGCTGTGCTGTGAGTAATTTCGATCTTGGGTAGTATAGGCGTCAGGCGAGGGGTGAACAGCTGACCCAAAATGTGTACACCAATGGTGTACACTGATATCACCGACTGTCAAATTCCACAATCTTTAAGGGGGAAACAGCACCCCATGTACACTGTGTCCCAATTTGCTTGTAATCACAGGGTTCCTCGGTAACCAGCAGATATAGAACTTTGCGGTTTTCGCCAATCTGTATCAATTTTGAATGCCGCAAACAGAATTGTGCCACCTTGTTCCGTTCCCGAGATACAGGGTGAAATTGTGAAATAGAAATTTTGCGCTTTTTTGGGGTGGTCATACCTCGCAGTGGCGGATCCAGCGGGGGGGCACTGGGGGCAAGTGCCCCCCCCCCCCCCCGAGAATTTTTCATGTTATGAAAAAATCTCTAGAAAGTATCCTTCGCACACGCACAAAAAATATATTCTTTTGAATAGTAACATTTTCCTCCAGTCTTTTAATATTATATTATTTTAACTGTTTGTTTATGATTGGGTGATCGTGACTGCCTTTCGGTTGTAATTTGATGGCGGCTATTGATTTTGGTGATTGATGCAATATAGAATTGTACATTTTGATATTTTGATATCTATTTTTTTCTATGTATTGAGTTTCTTTTCTTAGAATAAGTCGGTGATACTATATATTCCTTCCCAATAAGCAGGTATTTTATACCTAAGCACAGGGTCATTTTTTTATATTTTCCCACCCCCCTTAACTTTTTTGTGCCAGTGTGTCAATGTTCCTAAAGTTAATAGGTTGCCTGGTAATGGGGGTAACTTAATGACGCATCTGGGATGCCTTATGGAGATTTGCATTATGATGAGGCATCCCAGATGACGTCATACAGTTATCAGGCACCTCCAGGCTACCTCTTTCAAACAACCTTGCTAGTGTGTATAGAAAAAATGTAAATAGGAAAGGTGTATAGCTTGTATATTGTTGAATATTCGGATTTTACGTAAAATTCTGAGCAGATTTCATGTGATATACACTATAAAGTCTGTTTTTTTTTTTCAAAGATAATTCCCCAAGTCAAAAATTTAGTAACTACCTATGTTGACAACACAAGGCTTTTCTACATAAAAAATTTGAAAGCATTGACAATTTTACATTGTATTGCCAACATAATGTCATTTTGACTTTCATCTTTCAAAAAAAAACCTTAGATTAGGAACTCTTCCCTAAAAAAAAAACAGACTAGGTACCTTTTTTGCAACTTTGACAGATTGTAAAATCCAAACGGTTAATTTTACAAAACTGATTTTACATTCTTATTTTTAGCGTTTCATAAGCTATCCTTTGACAACAACGTTGACTTCAACCGGAGATTAAATTCAATTGAAATTTTCAATCATGGATTAAATGGTTTATGAAAATCTTAGACGTGAATGTAAAATCGGTTTTGCTCTAAAATCAACCGTTTAGGTTTTACAGCCTGTCAGAGTTGCAAAAAAGTCAAATTTCAACTGTCAATATTCCCAAAACAGTTGAACTTAGGTGTATAGTGTATGTATCACATGTAATCTGCTCAGAGTTTCACGTAGAATCAGAATATTCAATACTTAATATACAGGGTGTCCCATAAAAAAATATATATATTTTTTCGTTTTTTAAACTTTCTGCAACACCTTGTATGGACAAAACTATGTTTTCTGGAAACTATTTTTCAATCTGAACCTATACACTTTTCCTATTTACATTTTTTTTATACACAGTGGCACAAAAAAGTTAAGGGGTGGGAAAATATAAAAAATAGCTTTGGACAACCAAATATTGATACTAAATATCGTTAAAGGGCCCAAAAAAGGGGCGTGGCACCCTAAAATTTTTCGCCTTCGGCGATTAGCCTCCGGCAGCTACTAAATGACCACGTTCTTAGGTTAAGTGCCCCCCCCCGAAAAGCACCTCTGGATCCGCCACTCAGTGCCGGATTTACCATTTTGCCGCCCTACGCCTGTTTAGAAAGTCCGCCCTCATGTTGGCAGGGGCAGCGCGTGCCTCAAAAAAACTGGATGGTCAAGAAGATACAGAACACGGACAGTGGCGTACGCGTAGCCAGGCTTTTGGGGACGGAGACGGCAAACTTAAAAGGGACGCCAGGATTAAACGAAAAACATTTTGGGTGCCACGCCCAAAAATGTTTATTTTGAACCTTCAAATTTTTTTTTCTACAACTGTCAAAAAATGATGATGTTCGCACACTCATGACAGTTTGTGGAATGACCCTGCTGCGCCTCGTTAAAAAAATCAGATCTCAATCACCAAAGTAGCATTTCGCGCACTAGATACAAAAATAACTATTTTATGTACTACCTACATACACTAGGTATACATTATTTTGATCTGTGTGGTTTTTCTTGTTCGATTCATTTTTTTCATATGCACTTTTCATTTTTAAAACCGGAGTTTACAGGCTTTATGATTTTTTTTGGTAAGTACCTACCTATCTGTTCTTTGTGCTTTGTTATTTTTTTTGTATTTGTTATGTTATAACATTGTTCGAATTTATCAAAAATTGAATAAAAATCTAACGCGAAACAGAACGGCGTTGCGCGTTGGATCTTCGGCTTTTTCCTGATTATTTTTTGTCTTTTCCTGATTTTTTTTTTAAATTTTGCCGCCTCCCCAGATTTGCCGCTCTACGCTTGTGCGTGGTGTGCGTATAGGGAAATACGGCACTGCCGCCACTGATACTTCGGACACCTTGTAAGATAGAAAAAAGGTGAAAACTACTATAGATAGATATTTTTATGTAGAATCCAGTGTTGTAGTCAATAGTAATATTGCGTCACTAAGTTCATTAAGATTATCAAGTTTTTCAAGTCCAGATTAAAAAATGGTATTTAAAAAAATAATACCTACTTAATTTTATTCAATTTTGCTTGTGGACACTTTAATAGGTACCTATAATTCCATGGCCAACTTACGTTTTTCTTTTATTATTGCGTTTTTAAGAGTTAGTTTGAATCACAGTGCAAAGTGTGATGCATCATTTCAAAGAGAAAAAAAGGCGAATTTTTTGTGACCAAAAAATACAGGGTGTCTCATATATAAAATACTAAGTTTGGGGTATATCTCGAAAACGATTTGTCTAAACAAAATTTTGACTACAACACTGGATTTTACGGAGAAATATCTATCTACAGCAGTTTTCACCTTTTTTCTATCTTACAGGGTGTTGTATTTCACCCTGTATCTCTAGAACAAAACAAGATGGCATAATTCTGTTTGCGGCATTCTAAGTTTCACAAAAAACTAGATCGCGAAAAACACAAAGCTGCTGGTTACCGCGAAACCCTGTAATTACAGAAATTCTGGACACACTATATGTATATGCGCACATAGGCTCATTTTATTAATTGGGCCAAAATCAAACAACAAACAAAAAAAGCGCGAATTTTGAATATTTTATTGGTGAAGGCACTGCCTTACAAAACAACGATTTCAGGATTTCAACAAATTGTATGTGATTTGTGATGATTTTAAGTGATTTACAAAGATTTTCTTGATTTTGATTGATTTTTCGGATAGACTTGATTTGCATTGATTTCGAATGATTTTAGGAGATTTTTCAAGATTTCAATAATTTTAAGGGATTTAATGTGATTTTGCTTGACTTTACAGATTTCGGTGATTTCTATTGATTTATGTGAGTTTGAACAAAGTGTACACCTGATTTCAGGAGTGTCACACCCCTCGGGGTTGACCAATAGGTGTGAGTAAACCTCGAAGTAAACAAATACTGTTATAAATCATGCACCGTTGCCATTTTTCACAATCTAGCAACATTGATGGAATGAGTGAGGCAACTATACAGAACGACCAAGAGTTGATGTTGGAAATCAGACAGATGCTGGAACAGTATGTATTAGTGGAATATTCTGTGTTGGTGGACTTGGAAAAAGAGTAAATCCAGACGAATTGTGCTTGGAATTTGGAACGCTGTTTTTTTTATCTATAAAAATAAAATAATTGCTATTCACCAGAATAGATGATAAAAATTGTTTAAAAAAAATAAAACTCTATGAATAAGGTGTCATATTTTTATTTTAATGAATTAGGTGATAATAATATAATGATGTACAAATATGTAGTTCTAAAAGTGGATTATATACACTCTATTAAATTAATAAAATATGCATAACTATTCATTATGTAAAAGAGATCATGAAATGCTACATAGCACACCAAGTGGCAGCTAAATTATTTTTTCGCTTGTTAGAATCAGTTAATTTAGTAAACACAAATATTTATAACAGTTTAATAACCTAATAGCTTAAATGAAGTCTTTATAAAAAACACAACCATACACTTATAAATGTATGTTACTATAATATATCTAAAAATACATTTAAGCGAATGTTACAACTTACAAGTCCAGTCACCTCACAATAAGACCATCTTTCTATGTAAAATATTGCTATTTGTTTAAGGCCAAGACAATCAAGGGGTAGAAAGGCGTTTTTTAATACAAATATTGCTCAGTGACAGACGCATTTTTTCAAAGCGTTTAAAAAATAATCATTTTGTACCAAATAATTTGTCACATTTATTGTTTAATTTTTTTTTGTACAATAATTTGTAGATTTAAATAAATAATTTTTTTTATGGAGAATAAAATTGAAACTTTTATTCTTAATGAATAAGCGTCCTTCCAATAAAGAACATTTTTATCTTTGAATATGCATTTCGAATAATTTACCTGTATAAAGTTTGATAAATATGTTAAAATAAATTAGTGTATCTCCAAAAATGATTTTTTTTTTAATTACACATATCATAGACAGGGCGATCGATAGGTGGACGCTTCTCGCATCCTTTTTTGGATATTTGAATTTGGCCTCTTAGTTAACATTGTATATATGTGAAATAATTTTCCATAAATCGGACTAGAACTAAAACCCTCAGTTGTCAGAAAAAATCAAAGCATTCGTGAATTTTTACATTCAAAATTGATGACACTACTAAACTAAACTAAAATTAATACATTAATGATTAATGTCACTTCTGACATAGATATGGAAATGACATCACTACCTGTATTGTTATTTATGGAATTAAAGGATAATTATAGTTAAAAGCTTTATACCTAACTTGATCCGAAAACGATTAGGACTTCAATATTTTGTCAATTTTCAGAAATACCTACATCCGCGCATAGATGCACAAATAGTAAGAAGGTTTTAGCTCTTCCAAGTTCATGTTTTGATTTGTTCAGAATTGTTGAACATAATTGTCATAACGTAACTTGGCTTACTGTGTTAACCGATCAAAATTGGAATAAATTGAGGAAAGAGTTTTTTTTTAAGTATAACGCACAGCTTAGATGGGATTTTTGAACTCTATGGGTTTTGCCAACTTTTTATAATGTCGTAGAGGATTTAATTCTTAACAACATTTAAATGGGGCCAAATCTTGCAAGATATAAGCGTTGAATGATGGATTTTTTCGTGAAAAATACGATAAACTAATGTTTGTCAAGTCAACATATTTCAAGTCACTCACCAAATATATTGCATCTTTCAAAATATTGTTACATGGCAACTTCTTCGCAAAAGAAGCCCATCTTTCAAGGCTTATATCTCACAAACCGTAAAATGTACAAGAGTTGGTCCCATTCAAAGGTTGTTATGAATTAAATCCTCTACGGCATATCAAATCCATAGAGCCCAAAGATCCCATGTTAGCTGTGCGTCATTCTTTCAAATTTAAAGGGGGTGTAGCCCAAAAATGAAAGTTTTAGTGCAAAAAAATATAGGAATAAATATTTGAACCGCATCTTGCTACGATGGTCCGTTTCCGAGTTAGGGCGGTTTAAAGTTACAACTAGGTGTTTTTGACGTCACACTGGATTATTAGGGACAGTATTAACACGGGTAAGAATCTTTCAAATCGAAAGACAATTATCTCCTAGAGTGAATTGCAACCACTCAAAGTATAGGGTACTGTTCACTGACGATTGAACGAACAGAAGACTTGTGACATCACATGTTCCTGCATAATTTATCTTCACAAGGAGTTTTCTCGGAGACTATTTTGAATATAGGACTGCGGTTTTCACGAGAGATCTTAGAATTGTTTTCTTGTTTTAAGTAGCTTAAGTCGTTTTTTAGGGTCCCACCCTCTTTAATAATAAACGAGATAATTTTCACAACCAAAACACAAAAATTTAAATATCTTGAAATCTATTGAGTCATGGAAATGAGCTCTTCTAACATGTTTCCCAATTATTACATGCACTTATGGATCACCCTGTATAATTCTGTATTTTTCTTTTCACTCAGGAAAATTTGTTAATTACAAATAAGGATATATGTATGTATGTATATTCTATATACAATATTAGGTATTATCGTGGCTTAAATCTTTATATGAATGTGTTACTGTTTGTGGGGATGAAGCCAGTGACAAAAAGAAAAACGACTCTTATCTAATGAAAGCTTTCGCAATTTTTTTTATTGCTCCGTCAGTCATAAGATCATGAGTTCCTATTTAATCTAGATTTCATTTAGATTGTATAATAGTGTAGAATAAAATATGAAATTGTACATAAATGTAGACAGATTTAAAGATATAGTGTCTACGTTTAATCAAAAAAAAAATTAAATCTGTACATTTATGTACAATTTTATATTTTATTCTACACTATTATACAATCTAACCGTGCGTTCGGTATTTGGATCTGAGCTCTCCGAGCTTGAACTTATCGTTCTTTTATTCAAAAAGTGTACTCGGTGCAGGCTCATTCATGTTTCTTTATTCAAATTTCGAGCACTCTGACACAGCGTTCAACTGCTTTGTTCGCTCACTGGTCACGTGTTTACGGCTCCGCTCAGCACGCTCTACTCTTTGAGCAAAATACCGAACGCAAGGTAAATGAAATCTAGATTGAATAAGAACTCATGATCTTATAACTGACGAAGCAATAAAAAAAATTGAGAAAGCTTTCATCAGATAAGGGTCGTTTTTCTTTTCATCACTGGCTTCATCCTCACGAATAACACATTCTATATACAACATAAATTTGAAGAAAAAAAAAAATATATATATATATATATATACAGTGTGTCCCACTTTTCATGAATACACCCCGACATCTCAGTTATTAATAATGCGATTTTATTCAAATTTTGGAGGTGATTTTATGTTAGAAAAATGAACTATTTGACATAGTAAACATTTTTGTTTACCATTGGCGTGCGGTGTTGGGGGGTGAAAACGTATTGTTTTTTTGGGAAAAAGATATTAGGGCTTAATTTAGATAATTTTTTGCATCAGATTAAGAATCAGCATCCCCAAAAATCCCTTAATTCATATTTTTCAAGGGATGATTTTAGCAAAAAAAATAAATTTATTTTAATTTAATTTTTCTTAAAGGCTGTTTCTTTCTAATAAGGGGGTTGTTATATTGAAAATACAATATTCTAAAATAATGTCATTAGTAATTTGGTTATCACAATTAGAAATAAACAACTTATTAGAAAAAATTAATTAAAATATTTTTTTTTTTTTTTGTAAAATCAGCTCTTGTCATTTTGAAAATATGAATTACGGGGTTTTTGGGGATGCTGAATTTTAATCTGATACAAAAAATTATCTAAAATAAGCCCTAATATTTTTTTCCCAAAAATACAACCCCTTTTTACCTCCCAACACCGCACGCCAATGGAAAATATTTTTTTTTACTATGTCAATTAGTTCATTTTTCTAACATACAATCTTCACCAAAATTTGAATAAAATCGCATTATTAATAACTGAGATATCGGGGTGTATTCATGAAAAGCGGGACACACTGTATATGTATAAAACGACACATTATTAGACTTGTTTTTTTTTGGACCAAGCAAATTGAGAAACATCTATCCCAAAAAAACTTAAATTATTTCAAGCCGCAAAAACAATTATTATTGGAGGTATTTGGCACAAGGTGACATTTCCATTTCTAATTTTAAAGTGAACCTTTAAGTTAATTGATAGAATATATTATACGAGAATTACATAACCATTATTAGTTTCCATTTTTAATTGTTAAATTTGGAAATGGACAATTTGATTATGGATTTTTTATTGCACATTTTCCCATCAGCATCATATTTTGACTCACACTTGTGCACGTCTGTAATATATAATCTTAAAGTTAGCTCATTTAGGCCCGGTTTATTCATCTTCAGATAAACTTGCTGGTAACTATCTGCAAGATAAATTTACTGTTCTTTAATTCTATTGGTCGGCGGAAAACTGGCCGAGCAATGAGATTACAGATTGCATACCTAACAGTTTATCAGAAGGTGAATAAGCTGGCCCTTAGTGGAGTAGATATGCAAGGCTTAATTTACACAAAACTTAAGTGTTTTTGATCCATATTGAATGAAATTAATAAATTTTGTCTTTAAAAAGAAATAATAATTTTGTAGTTCCTATACAGAGTGTCCCACAGGGAACCCAATCGATCTATATATGAAAAACTGTATGCAGAAATATTTGAAAATTGCTAATGTCAATGGGGGCAACCCGTCTAAAATATTTTCAAGATGGTGCCTCTTCCCGTTATACCGAAACTAGACGTCAACTTGCTTATTTTAAATGAGACACCCTGTATGTGATTGCATATTTGGATTCTAGATACAATTCTGAGCAGATTTCATGTTATACCCTACACCTAAGTTCAACTGTTTTGGAAATATTGACAGTTGAAAATTGACTTTTTTGCAACTTTGACAGGATGTGAAACCTAAACGGTTAATTTTAGAGGAAAACCGATTTTACATCATTTAACACCAACTTTGAATTTAACCAGAGATTAAATTTAACTTGAATTTGATAATTTATAAAAATCTAAGACAAGAATGTAAGATCGGTTTTCCTCTAAAATAAACCGTTTAGGTTTTACAGCCTGTCAAAGTTGCAAAACGGTCTTGAAAATATTTTAGCCGGGTTGCCCCCATTGACATTGTATACTGTCAAGTTTTCAGAAAATTTCTGCATACAGTTTTTCATATATAGATCGATTTGGTTCCCACTGGGACTCCCTATATAATGTGTCCAAGATAAGGAGGGTCAGCATAGGGATCTCAGAAACGGTATGAGATACAACGTCGCTTAAATTTGAAAAAAAAAAGTGGCGCAATTTTGTGCTCATTAAAATGGCGCTTTGATGTTTTAAAAATTCCGAGTGCTACCGGAGATATCCGGGAAAAAACGAAATTTGGCAAAATCGATTTTATTTTTTTCTGAGCTTATTTAAGTAGATATTTCAAAATAAATGTCACTTCATCGAAACAAATTATTCTACTCTACAAGATGACATTTTCAAATTTAAAAACTGACGTTTCGTCTTTGGGACACCATTGTCAACTTCATGCCGGCCCTTGATTTTCTATTTCAGATTTTAAGAGCTTCTGATGTCCCAAAAGCTATGACGTACCGCATTTATTCGCAAAATATTTTTTTCACTTTTTAGTAATTTCCTACCAAAATTCTCTTCTCTGTCTTTCTCTAACATATTAAGTTTTTATAGAAAGTACCAATAATATAAATTTTTCGAATAAATGCAATACATTGGATTTGAGACATCAGATGCTTATAAAATCGGTTCGTATTTAAAGAAAAAAAAGAAGTAGATGATAAGAGCCCAAAACCAAAACATTGGATTTCAAATTTAATAACGGCATCTTGTAGAGGAGGAAAAGTGGCAACAATGAAGTGCCATTTATTTTGAAATATCTTTTCGAATAAGGTCAGGAAAAATTAAAATCGTTTTGGACGAATTTCGGTTTTTTCCGGTAGCACTCGGAATTTTGAAAATATCAAAGCACCATTTTAATGAGTACAAAATTGCGCAACTTTTTTCCAATTTGAGTGACGTCATATCTCTTACTGTTTCCCAGATCCCCATACTGGCCATCCTTATCTTACAATTTTGTATTCATCTATCGAATTTTTACTTATAATATCAGTGCCCAAACTATTTCCGAAATTTTTTTAAACCTCACGAATATTAAAACCAGGGATAATTTCGTCTGAATATTCCACAGTGAGAAAAAGTTTCCGGATTATAATTTGGGCACGTGTGATATTGAGACGATTTTAAACCAAAATTTCAATATTTCAAAACCTGAACAAAAGAAAAAAACGGAAAGTTTTATGGTTGTAATGGTAATGTTCCAAAATAAATGGCTTAAAATACAGGTTCAACATTTTTATAAATGAGAAAAAAAATAGTTTCTGAAATAACTCAAATAATGTTAAAACAATCACCATGGAAGGCCATGGCAATCCGTGCATCAAAAACCTACCGAACTAAAATATAGCAACAAGATTACATACAAATTATTGCGAATAAGATATTTTCAACGTTCGTATTAAGTATAATCACAAGGGTCAACATATAACATTTTTTTACACAACATAAATAATATAAGAGTCTATTTATTGCACTGTGCCAAACAAAAGAAATAATTCCAAGACTGACTACCTGGTGGCACAAGAAACGGTTTTTCTAATATTTTTAATAACTAATAAAATAAAACTAAGAGCACCATTAAATAAAAGCTAGTTATCATGAGATTTAACATTTTTTTTTTCCATCGGTAATAATCTAAAACTTATTTCACTGGGTTCTACCTACTTTTGAGATGACATTAACTATGGCATGAGTTTTTTTCTGTGTAATAACTCTAAATTATGGAAATTATAATAAAATAGGGAATAGAAATATTGATATTATTAAAATAGAAAATTTATAACAGAGTTTGGGCTCTATGGATTTGCCAAATAGTGGGGAAAAATGACGAGCCTTCGAACATATACCTTTTAATGATTTTATTGGTTGATTTTGCCACTGTTCGGATGAATGCTTAGCATCGTGTTCAGGGCGTGATTTTGAGCTCATTCCGGTATAAACCTGTTACATTAATATTATTTCTTCCCAATAGGATTGATACCCTTTATACTTTCTATAATTAATAATAGTTATTCGTATACCAAGACCGCGAAATGCCTTTTTAGCGTACGTAGAGAAAAGTTATTGCCGAGGCCGCTTGCGTTTCGCGGTCATGGTATACACACTATAATATGTGCACCGATAAAAATTATGTAAAGTTACATAGCGAATTCTATTGGTAGAACCAATGCAGAAAAAATGTATTTTCATCTCTTTCTTATACAAGTTAGTACAAAAAGACACGGATACACTCAGTGCGCACTAAACCTTCCAATAGAATTCGCTTACAGAAAAACTGTATGGATTCGACACATTTTGCACTTAAGGTGTGGCGGCCGCAAAATTGAATTTCGCGGACGGTTGCACAAAAAAGTTAAAAAAAGCATGAATGCATATTTTTATTTTCAAACATATATGAAATGTTGACATAACGGACTTTTTAAAAATTTGAAAATGTCACATTTTTGTATTTTCATTTTACTGCTCCATTTCCTTTCCTCATTTGGTTGTCACGGTTTTTTTTTTTTGATAAATTATGGTTAAAAACAAAATATGTAGTATACAAACTTCGACGGGAAACTTCATTGCTGTCTCGAGGTTCATGGCGATTTCCATTTGTCAATCAGTGCGCACTGGGTGTATAAGCATCTTTTTCTAAAAGCATGTGAAATATAAGGATAAGGATACAATTTTTTTTTGCACCTATTCGACAAATGGAATTCGCTATCAGTTTATCTCGAAGCTACGCGTCTCGATAAACTATAAAACCTCTTGACCAGCAATGAAGCATTTCCCGTCTCGGATTGTAATATACTATTTTGGGCAACATATGCATGGATGCTTTCATTTAACATCTACATTCCAATTATTGAATTATTTTGGGTTAAAATAAGAAAAGGTTTGCTTTATAGAGGATCGCCGGACTATTTATGGGAGCCAGTTAGGGTCCACCAAACTTAAGAATGGTATAGGCTTGGTCAGCGCGGAGTTCTGACGTCGAAGGCAGCGGGCAAACTTTTAGTTCAATAATTTTCATTTGGTTTGGAAATGGATCTAATTTAGCTACGCTACTCAATGACCCAACTACTCGCCGTTGCTATGGCAACTGTGATGAACATACCAATGGGCAACTTGCGGCGAAACACGTGCCTGTGCCATTCTTAAGTTTGGTCGACTCTACCAGGCAATCCTTTCATAACCCAAAAATATATCGTTAGTTAAAGATTCGTCAATCCAAAATCTATTCCCTATTAAATCATGTATCTCTATGTTCTTTATAAAAACAGGAACAGATTACATAGTTCCAAAATTAAATCTTTTCCATTAGTTTCACTGGAAAACTTCAGCTTATCAAAATCCCAAACAATTTCTATTAAAAATCCAATTTTGGCACTTAGTTTGTGTTATAAATGGAAGGCTAGGCCGTGGGCAAATAAAAGATTACATTTAGAGACTTGATATTCCTAAAAAAATATATGAGTGATTTCTCTTAAATTTCAATAACAAAGAATACCTCCTACTTTTATCGAATGATTATTCTTACGCTAATGGTTTATTGCCCAGAACGAGGGTACAATACTATTTTGTGAATGGACTACAGCTTTTGAGAGCTAAACAAAAAATTATATACTGAAATATTTATATTAGAATATGCTCATATCGGTAGCTGTGTATTTCACGTAATTCAGGTACTCAAAAAAAAAATTTAGAGTATGTTGGATTTTCTTGGCATGCAGATGTTTCAATTAAAATTGATGAAAAATTTTCTTGCCTTGACTAGGATTTGAACCCAGGTCCCTCGCATATGTAGTGTAACGCTCTACCAACTTGTAGAAATTTAAAAAATTTAAAAACAGAATAATTAGTATATCACTCAGAAGAATAGATTCAACAACCTATACAGAGTGTCCCGGATAAGGATGCACTCTACAGGGATCTGATCTCGGTAACCATAAGAGACACAGGGTTGGTTAAATTTGGAAAAAGTTGCGCATTACTCAGCTCAATGGCGTCATGTCTTGATATTTCGGAAATTTCGAATGATTCCGAAGATATCTATAAAAAACTGAATTTTCCGAAATCGTTTTTATTTTTTTCCTGACACTATTTGAAATGGTATCGCAAAATAAACTTCACATTCTCATGCCACTTTTTCTCCACTACATGATAATGTTATTAGATTTTTGATCAGACGTTTCATGTTTGTTTTTCTAAATGTTCAAATTTAATGATTTTATGCCTAACAAATTCTACTTTCCCTCCTGAATCCAACGACATATCACACTTATTGTTTATTCAAAGTTTCGGACTAAAAAACTCACCATCAATGCAACAGGGCATTCCTCGACATCCTCTTAGAAAGATTACCCTCAGGAAAACTGGGATACAGAGTACATACGGATACCTCAATAAGGAATCCAATCACCATCCTAGGCAAAAGAGGGGGGTCATTGAAAATCTATCTGACAGGGCAATCCGGATTTATGAATGCAGATACCTTCAGGACGAGGTGCAACACCTAAAATTAGCACTTGAAGGAAATGGGTAGTCCAAGCAGGAGATAAATAGAGCTATAAGACCGAAGCAACAGCGCACAAATAACAAGGAACCAGCACAGATGGCAAGGAGCGCCTTTCTTCAGAGGACGAACGCTAGAAAAACACAACATTAAGCCCATCTACAAGCCCACAAGAACAATTCAGCAAAGTCTAAGATCGGCCAAGGATCAGATGTAGGAACGACTGCAGGCTCTATCAACACCGGGGTCAAAGAGCACAAAAGAAACTGTCAGCAGGGACAAATAGATAGATCAGCAATCGCCGAACACGCGTTAACACAAATAAACCATGTCATTCGTTTCGACCAGACTCCAGCATTGGATAGCAGCAAACATTTTTACACCAGCCTCCACAGAAAAGCCATAGAGATACAGAAACACCACAACAACTTCAACAGAAAAGAAGAGGGCATGAACCTTAACAAAAGCTGGTTGCCAGTTCTCCAAAAAACAAAGACCCTTCCTTTCCGAGAACGAGACAAGAAAAATAGCCTAACACAAGCCACGCCCACAACCCTGGATATAAATAACGCAGGTCCAACAACGTCGAATCCAATCATCGGAGGACAGTGTTGCCACAGGTGGCCCCATATGGCCAGAGCTGGCCCTTTTTAAGACGGAGTGGCCCGTCGGCCACTCTTTTTCGAATCTGGCCCGTTTCTCCATAACAAGCCAAATCTATATTTTTTTATGTAAAATAAACGTTTTTGGGCGTGGCACCCGGAAAAATGTTCTGCCTCCGGCGGCGCCTGCGGCAGGCTTTCTCTTTTCTTTTTGATTTGAAAAAGGTTTGCACGAAATTCTGAAATCTGGCCCCTTTTAAAAATATAGTCTGGCACGAAACTATTAGAGGCTGTAGCAACACTGTCGGAGGAACACGGAAGAGAGCACTACTTCCTCTACCACACCGCCTCTGAAGATGTCTACCGCGGCAGTAGACGAAACGTTAGGTAGAAATATTACTCGATCACGGCATTATAGCCCGGAAAAAACTTTTTTATCAAAGAAATAATTGATTTTATTTATTAGAACTGTTTTTATGAACCAAATAATTATTTTTCATTTTCAAAAATTTCATCTTCATTTTCCATACACAAATAACACTGACGAACAGTTTCTTCCATGACATTTTTTAACATGAATGGATTCATATTTTTTATTGCGGCAGGAACTTCAGCCATCAACTCATCATTATTTTGAAAAGTCTTCCATCGGTGTAATGTCTGAGGATCGCGGAGTTGCCAGTTAATGGGACTACTAGTGGCAATTATTATTCCTGGAATTATGAGCTTGATATGTCGTTGGATTTAGAATAAAAAATAGAGTTTATTAGGCATGAAATAAAAAATTTCGACCATTTGAAAAAGCAAAGTTGATGACGAAGAAACGAAACGTCTGATCAAAAATCTAATAACATTATCATGTAGTCGAGAAAAAGTGGCAATGAAAATGTGAAGTTTATTTTGCGATATCATTTCAAATAGTCAGAAAAAAATAATTTCGGCAAAATTCGGTTTTTTATGGATATCTTCGGAATATCCGAAATATCAAAACATGGCGCCACTGAACTCAGTAATGCACAGCTTTATCCAAATTTAATCAATCCTATATCTCTTATGGTTACGGAGATCCCTGTAGAGTGCATCCTTATCTGGGACACCCTGTATAGCAGTCATTAAAAAAAAATTGATAAATAAAAAAAAAAACAAGGAAGTTACATAAAAAAAAAAAATTAAATTGTAAATATGTATAGTAGATATTTATGTTAAAAATATTTAAAAAGATAAAATCGACAAAAAGAGTATCTTGGAATAAAATGTCAGGTGATATGTTATGATTAAGAATCACCTGAACTGTATGAAACATAATGAAGCATTATTTTGAGTGATTGTAATTTCTTATCAAATAATTGAATAATGTTTTTCGAATTAATAAGAAAATATGCATCTAGAAAGTGAGTAGATACTTCAAAAAATATATATATAGTTGATCCAAAACTAAATCGGTTGCTCGTCAACAATGACAGCAACTAAGTTTACATCTAATATGCTGGTAGACACATTGTGATCAACTATAGCAACAGATAAAAAATAAAAAAGGTGAGTGGACTTAAAAAAAAAAAACATTAAAAATAAGTGCAAAGTGACTTCCATCTGCACCGGTTCCGGAAAGCTCAGATCTCAGATGCAGAATAGGTCAGCAATCCTAAAGAGTTTTCTTAGCATTATTAGGCAAAACAATAAAATTTGGTTGAAAGGCACTGGAACACTTGGAAATCACTATTTCTAGGGTCAGCATCATTGCATCAGGGAAAGGAATTCCTGGAAGCACTTAAGCTTTCCAGAACGCAGTTGAGTTGGTCCATTTGTAAGATCCCTAGTTCTAACTATTTTCGTAATAGCTCTTCACGAATGTCCTGTTGGTACATTCTGGCTCTAGCTAGCTTCATGCTCGTTATTCTTACTCAAAACCGATGCCCAGCAGGAAAGTCACTTCCAAAAAAATAAATTTAAAGTGCAAAGGATGAGAGGACAAAAAGTAAGGTTATCACGAAATATTTTTCTTTTACCAAGTTAAGGAAATTGATCAAGCAAAAACCTAATTCGATTTGCGTAGCCCTCAAAATCGCGCAGCCCCTCTCAACGCAACTAAAATGAACTTCGCATCAAGAACATTGCAAAGGTAGACGAAACAGTTTCTGAAGGTGTATCCGGCTAGCTGTTAGAAGAAACTCTTAAGGGCTCATGTGGCCCAGCTGACTGTGGTCCTTGAGCGCCTGCACTTGGGGTAAGAGGAGTCAGCTGGTTGCTTTGAGCCATCAATTTTTGTCGTACCTCTCTTATCTGAAATAAAATTCTAAAATATACTGACCAAAATATAAGAATAGTTGGTATAAGTATATAATCAATATTTGTGAACATTTTAATTTCCAAAACAAAATTAGTGACATACCTTTAGCTGTAAACTTCCTTTAGTGGGAAAAATATTTACATGATCAGATTGAAATTTTGAGGTGGCCTGGGCTGTTGGGAATAAAGAATGCTCTTGGAAAAGTTGCATCACTAACTGTCTACGTTGCTCCAATTTTTTCCGATGACCCTTATCGGAGTCTTTAGTCCCAGGTGTTCGTGGAGTCCTAGGCGAAGGTGAAGCTCCCTCGTCAGCTTCTTGCAGCTCTCTGACACTTTCCAAAGAAAAATCTGGCCCAAAAAAATGTGTACCTGCCAAAGGGCGAGCAGTGGGTAAGGATAATGGAGCTTCAGCTTCAGAGCCTAAGTCTTCCTCAGGACCTCTAGCTGGAGCCGTCAAGGGGGGCCCTCCTCTACGTCGTAAGGGACCAAATAAACCAGGGCTTGGAATGGATATAGCACTTGGAGACTGGCCATCATGTGGTTCAAATCTGGGAAGCGACGAGAATTTTGCTTCGAAGTTTACTGTTTCAAGTACTCTTAAAATAAAATAACTATTATGATTTCATTTCCAAAGCAAAAAAAAATGTATGTATTAGTTCATAATTAATCGCAACTATACATCCATAATTTAAATTTCATACTTACTTGTCCATTCCGTCTTCAACATTCCGCTTAAAAAAGTGCTTTTTGCTGCAAGGCGATTGAAGGTCAAAATTTCCATTATTTCCTTCTAAGCCCGTCAATAATGGAAGACTAACGGCCATAGATTGACGTCTCTGACCAGGGGCTTGTCCTAATTGTGCTGGAGTTGGCGCCAATTTAAATTCACCACTGCTATCTTCGCGGGTATTCACCTCTTCTTCAGAAGACATCATTTCTAATTTGGGTTTTGAATAATTATGACCTAAAACTAAATTGGCCAAGGTTGCATCTCAAATTCATATGTAATCATGTTATTAAGGATTTTTACCTTGATTTTTGGGTGTAGTTGGTATATCATCGAAAGACGTAACTATCCGTGCAGGTTGGCTCACTATAACTGAATGAGGTGATGCGTTGCTGGCACATATTTTTGGTAACAACTGTAGAGCCATTCTTGGAGAATCATATGTTTTGGGCTGGACGTAAAGACATGGAATATCTGTTGGACCTGTGGTTGATACTTGTACTACAAAAGGTGTTCTATCTGAAGGACTGTCGGTCAAGCAATTACCGATGAGAACTGTTACGGGAGATTGGTAGTTGTCTGATGTTTTGTTTTGCAGGGAAGGTTTTAGCATTGATAGTGCCATGCCATTACCCACTAGAAGGAAAAAAGATAATTCAGCTTGTAAAATGATCGAAGCACATTATGGTGCATCTTGAATTCATACCTATATTCTTACTAAAAATAAAAATATTTTCCGACACTGGAAAGCCAGAAATGTGAACTATGGCTGAATATATTTTAAAAAGTGGGATGGTAATTGCTGCTTGAAAATCCATGCATAAAAAATGCGTGTATGTTGTTTATCTCAAAACAGTGGATTTCAACACCAAGGCAAGTGAGGTATCATTTGCAGTTGTTTAACTATCTTTGTTAAACTTGCTTTACATTTTTTAATTGATTGACATACATTAAAAGTTGTTTTGTTTTACCTTTAGTACAACACTCTCAAAAATTAACTTACCTGAAAGATTGTCAATCAGTCAAAAAAGCCACTTAAAAGTAGATTTGATGAGTTAAATTACCAAGTATTTGAACTTGATCAATTTTGAAGATTAAAAATTTATAGATAAAGCCCGTTTTTAGGTTTAGTGAAATTGACACTTGTAACAAACATCTACGCCAAGCCTGAAAAAAATTACCACAAAACTAAATTTGGTTTGACTTTTGTGGTTTTGTTGATGGATTACAAAAACTTCCTTGAAAAGTACCTTTCTTGGAAACTAAAGCTCCCAACAAATGCACAATAACAGAAAAACTTCATTTTTAGAGGAATGCTGCTAGAAACCAGAAAAATTGTTTCACTTACCAGATGAAAAGGCAGTAGTTGGAGTATTCGGATTTGAAGAACACGGTTCCTCGGATTTAATCAACTGTGGCGAGTAAGGTACAGCTTTGAAATGCCCCCCTCTTGAGTGAAAAGGTCCAAATTGATATGGGGCAGAAATAGGTGTAACTGGGCTATTGTAAATGCTAGACTGGAGAGGCCCTTCCATATCGCAATGCGATTCTGAATCAGAATCGGTCACTTTTTCTTTACATTTCAGATCGATTTCTTGAATCAGAGGATCAGCGATTATCAAATGATCATCATCTTCATCATCAACAGGTTTTTCAATTGGTCCGGGACTTATTGGAATATCGCATTCACCTGTGGAACTTAGTTTGCTTCGGCCAGAGCCTGTTGACGACTTTCTTCTGTCTTTATTACACCTGCAATTTAAACAATATATTACCCGAAGTGAGTGTTAAAAATCATACCATTTCCATTCAGGGTGAGCCCTGAAATGCGCCTCCTTCACTTCAGTAGCTAACTCATGATACTTTTTTTTTTCAGCAGGGCCCAATGCATACCACCATTCCCCTAAAATTTTGGAGACTGTGCGATTGTCTTGATTTGGATGTCTTTGATGCACCAAAGCCCTATGTCTTTTAGAAAAAATCATGAACGCATTCATTGGTCGTCTAATCCTTTCCTTGTTATTTTTTGGTTCTCTACCATGTAAAGAACTCATTGATTGTGTTCTCCTTTGAGGTGCACAGGGAGCTTTCCCTAAATCCAACCCACCAGAACTATCTCCATTTTCTGGTTCAAAAACATCATCGTCGTCATCATCATCTACTGGATTAGGTAAAACCTCATGTTCCACATTTTCATTTTCAGGCAAATCATTAGGACTCGGGGAAGGAAGGCTTCCCTGTATGCCACTACTACTAGAGAGCATTGGTACAACAGCATGCCAAGGTACTGCAAAAGCTGATGCTGGACTTCCCACCTGAGGTGGTTGTATTAAAGCAGAAGGTGATGGTTGAGAAGGAGCAGGTTCCATAGCTTGCTCTGGTGCTACAATCACACCAGAAGAAGTAGCTCTAGGTTGAGATGATGCTGGTAAAACTGGCAATAATTGGGTAGGGTGAACTATAACTGCTGGTTGCGAATTTCTCATATGGTCAGTTTGGATAATCTGTCTTGAAAGAGGTTTAGTTTCTTCCAGTCTATGCTCAATGTCATTTTTAATCACCAATAAATTCTTATCGTGATTTTGTGGAACAATGTACAAAGATCCTGGTGCCATATGTGTGGTCAAGGAAACCCTTTCCTCAGTTGGTGCGTTGTGTTGGAATATCACTTCCTGAGTTTCTAAGGGGGCTACAGTGCCCCATGGTCTTGGACTAGGAGATACACGAATAACAGTCTGTGCTGTTTGTACAGGACGAACTAATTCTGGTCTAATTACTGGCTGATGATATGGGGGATAAGCTGGTGCGCCGCCACCAATGGGTAGAAAAACGTTTTGACGAGGGCCAACTGTTACAGGAGAAGGAGCACTACCTAACCTCGCAACTGGTGAACTTGCAGCACCTGGAGAAAATGCTGCTGGAGTTGCAGATCGTGAGCTACCTAAAGACACTAAAATGCAAAAATGGAATATTTATTTGTACCTAATAAAAAAAAGCAAGTTCCTACCTAGCATGTTGGCAACGTCAGTTTCTTCTTGATCAAATCGACCAGTGACCCTACGATCTTGCGCGCTTGGTGAGGTTTCAGAATCTCTGGATGTATCTTCACCATCCTGTTTGCTGCCCGCTCTAGGAAATGACGTTCCTCTTAAACCATTTCCTTTTTGGCTTAAATGGCGAGAACAATAACCTCTCCTTTGACTCTCCTTGTTACAGTTGTCTTTAGAGCATAATCTCCTCCATTGCTTTCCATTAAATTTCTTACGAATTCCGTTTGGATTTGATACAACATCGCCCTGTAAAGTTTTATCATTCACAAATGATAGATAGTGCCTTAAGTCAAAAGTCAAAAATAGCGACAAAGTAGAACTTAAGATGAATTAATAAAAACCTTTTTATATTTGTGAGGAGTAGCTGGTTGACTTGGAGTAACACTACTTGAAGATGATGCCCGGCTATGCATAGAGCTTCTTTTACTACCTCCAGAAAGTTTGGCTTCTTCAGTAAATCCTTCTTGCCTTAACTCATCTTCACTTTCACAAAACTCATCATAAATTCGGCCATTTGACACAGGCGTACATGCACTTACAGGAGTATGCAGGGTAGCTGGAGAAGCCCGGCAGTAATCATTTTGCTGATTGGAAGCTAACTCTAGATGTTCAAGCTCGTCCCACCAGGGAGGTCTTAATAATCGAAGATCTGCTCGTTTTACATTAAGCTCACATAATTTGTCACCTTAAAAAAAAGGAAACATGATGTATTGATGTATCTGCGTCAAAAAATAACATAATTTGCCATATTCCTGGCAAGTGAAAGTGGCCCATTCATCTATTTTTAGTTTATTTTTTCCCTTCGGAAAGACAATAATAATTGATGTGTTTTGAATTTCATTTGATTCTTCAAACATCAAGAAAATTTAAGGAATGCAGTATGTTGAATTTTTTTCCCAGTTTGAATTTTGGTTTGTTTTATGTTGATTCTGGGAAGTTTGATTATTATTATTTTTTATTATGTTCAGGGTATTTGATTATATTGGAGCCCATACCTACAGCCCTTACTTTTCAAGATAGAAAAAAAAATTTAATACAAAACTTGACAATTTTTCTCTATATTTTCTTTAAACGTTATCAGAAAAAACAAAATCGCATCGGAAAATGGAAGAACATAGGAAATTTCAACTTTTTTTTAATGGAACACCCTGTATATTATGCAATAAAATGAAGGATCTTTTCTTCCTGATTCCGAATACTATTAAAAATATTGATCACCTTTGCGTGAGCTATTTTTGAAATATCTTAAATTATAAATAATTTGCAAAGAAATTTCATAAGGATGTCAAAACAATATCTCTTGCATAAGCTTGTCAATTTGGGTTTTTCCGAAAGGGCATATACATTTATCAAGTCATACTTATTACAGCGGCCACAAAAAGTTAAAATTGGTAAATATTTCTCTAAAGAATACATCAGCACATCCGGCGTACCACAGGGCAGCAACCTTGGTCCCTTGCTTTTTTTATTGCATATAAATGGCGTGACCAATGTTTTAAAAGAGTCAACAGGACTTCTTTATGCTGATGATTTAAAGATTTTCAAAATAATATCAAATGAATCTGATTGTGCTCAGTTGCAGTCTGACATTGATGCGGTATCAAATTGGCTTTATGAAAACGGTATGTACCTCAACATAGACAAATGCAATGTAATGACATATACAAGGAAAATCAATTATGTTGTATATGATTATGAAATACAGAACAAAACACAGACAGAAAATACAATGTTAAAGATTTAGGGGTACTTTTTTCACCAAATCTTAAATTTAATGACCATTTTAGCTACGCCACTGGAAAAGCATATGTCTGGGATTTGTTACTCGTAACTCTGGAAATTTTAACACTTCAACCATAAAGTTGCTTTATAACTCACTGGTTAGGCCTCACATAGAGTATGCCTCAAATATTTGGAGCCCAACGGCAGCTTCTAATATTGATTTTATCGAAAGGGTGCAGAAGCGATTTTTGAGGTATCTCTTTTACAGGGAAAATGGTTCTTATCCTTACATGCTTTCATATAGGAGTATGCTCGAGGGTTTTAGTTATACAACTCTATTTGATAGAAGGAATCAAATTGCAGTTTTGTTTGTGTTTTTTATTGTAAATGACTTAAACTATAATTATTGCAAGATTATTAATTTCATTAAATTCAATGTTCCTAAACCTAATCTACGAATCCTTAATAAAAAAACATTCTTTGTAACTCAGGGAAGTATATCTCCACTAAATAATATGCTGGCAAATTGTAATGCTTGGTCAGAGTCTAAAGATTTTGATATATTTAAAACTAATGCCAAAGAAATCAGGTTACTGTTTACTTGTTAATTATATAAGTGTTAAATGTTAAATGAGTTATGAATTGATTTTATACACACCTGGTCAATTATGTTGTTTGTGATAAGTTAGTGTGATATATTTTATATGTACATCATGTCCTTTTTTACCTTTTGTTTTTTAATAATTTTTAATCTAGTTCTAGTTTGTTAAGTATTTTTTTTGAGACCCTAGTGTCTATTCTTTGCATATAATTACTGTTTTTCTATATGGTGTTTGTAAAGAATTGAATAAATAAATAAAAAAATATAATCTTTATAGAATTTCTTCGAAGCTACAGTTGAAACTCACAACAAAATGTCATAGAGGATATCAGACAATTCGGTCTCAATGCTAAAGAAAGCGATTGGAAAAGTATGCAGGTATCTTCGATAAACCAAACACAAAATATCGTAATAGACAGGAGAACTAGAGATCGACAAAGACGATTTTGAAGTTGACGAAAACCCCGAAGAAAATGGAAATGACTAAGATGCAGCAAACACAAATAATGTTAGTAATGAGGGCGATATAGTCATGGACTTAATTTCAAAAAAAAAATTCTTGGAAATTTCTCATGAAGATGACGAATGTGATACTTTGAAAACAAGTTGTATAAACTTGAACATTGTTGGTGACAATTCTTCGATCATTAAAAAGTCATTGTGCTGCTAGCTTTTAGATCAGTCACGGAAGAGTAAGTATGTACCGAATGATTAAAAAGATTTATAGGCAGTACAAGGAAAACACATCGGAAAACATTGGAGAAATAACCTACCAAAAATTCCTCGACTATGAGAAGGACAAATCCACCAACTAAACAGAAGCTACCCATGTAATTTTTTTTTTTCCCCAGCTTTTTTAATCATTTCATTTTAACATGTAATAGTGCAAACATCTAGATATTCTTGATTTATTTTACACCATTTTGTGACCAAATTTTTGTGATAGATTTGTGAATTAGTTAAATTAGGGGAATTAGAAGGGAATTAGTTTGGGAATTAGAAATATCAGGGAAATTAGAAAGGAATTAGAGGAATTAGAGGAATTAGTTACCATCCTGGGAATTAGGTACACATTTTTCTTAGCGGTTTACCCCTCGGCTTTTGATTGTGTCTGTCACAGAATATTGCTGTGGAAACTTAAGAGTGCTCTGGCCTGGTTTGCCTCCTACTTACATAACTGATCGATTTCAAAAACTAAACTTTTCAAAGGGGTGTTTCGGGATTTCTGTCCTTGGGCCCTTGCTCTTTCTCATATATATTAATGATTCAACTAAGTTGGGCGTACGAAGACTTTTTAAAGAGTTATTTTACATGATTAAAGCAAAGTATAAAATTTCATGTAAACCATGACACCGCTCTGCTTGTTTTCACTGGAAACTGTTTGTCTAATCTATAAAAAATATAAACATGGAATCAAGGTACAAAATACAGATACAACATACAAACTCCCATTGCCTATACCAAAAACCAATTCAAATTCAATTATATGTAAAAGCATGAATTTTTCATTTGTCTGCTACAGGCTTGTAATTGTTTTAGGTGAGTACCTACATACCTAATTAGGAAATTTATGATTTTTTTTTATTAGGTAAATAAGCCCAAACAAATTTAGACTTCAGTGCATTTAATTTTTTTCAAAAAAAAAGTACTTACCTATAACTGCTACAAGAAATCTAACAGGTTGCCCCTCAAGAGTAGTACAAACGACACCTTCCACAAACATACTGTGATTATGACGAACACAAACTCTAGTGCCTACTGAGATTTGATTAACTGAGGGGCTAGCATCTCCAATGACATTGTAATATTCATTATCGAATACATTTTCATAGGTGCACCTTTCTGATTTTCCATCAAATACTACTGTAATCTAAGACAAACAATTTTTACAACTAGTAATGGTTGTTATGTTATCTATTTTAGTAAAACTTACAGAATCAACACCAGCTTCTCTTATAACTCCTGGTAAATACCAATCGCCTTGTTTAGCTAACACTCTATGATCACACCACTCACTTAAATCGACTGGTGGTGGAGCTGGAGGTAGAACCCTTTGATTTTGGTTCTCAGTCAACTGATTGTATAGAGGTGTATAAAGATAATCAACAGAAGTAGCATTTGTGTTGGTTTGAACTACTGACACTGGTATACAATTACTGGATTGTGGTCCACCTTCATCCAACTCGGAGGGATCGAATTTGCGTTTTTTAGGCAGTTTTCGAACCCCCATGTCCATTTTTAAGTGTCTCCCTTGGTTATTCAAAAATTTTATGAATAGGTTCTGTAAGGTTTATGCATCATCTCGCTTTGGAACTCAAACTTAGTACTATTGTAAAATTATTACTCTGCATGCTTGGGGTGAACATCTCACCTGTTGTGGGTGATATTATGTGATTGAGTATACCCTGATAGTAGCAAAAATAAGCTGTTTACCCACTTTATGAATGAATCCTTGTTATAGGGGAATTGTAAATAAACAATCAAGGAGACATTTTAGATGATTGCCTGCCTGAAGATCCCCTGCTTCAGGTTTTTCTTTGTCAATTTTTGATCACATCTAATCCTAGATCTCCAGGAGAAAAAGTAATATTTAGGTAAACCATCACAATATCTTATTAACACCCACAAAACAAGGAACAAGGAACATCAATCTCAACGCGATGCATTCCTTTAATTTTCCTTGAATCTTCAATCAAATATCAAATAATTTGACATGCATGGTTGCCAGTGCCAATCCTTTTAGTATTTTGGTAATTTCTGACACCACTCTACTACACATACAACAAAGATAATTATTATGATGACGTCACTGAAAAATCACGTCCATCTATAATTCTCTAGTGGGTGCACAACCATGTGTCAGTGCTGATTCGCCTAATTTTAAATCACCAAATTGGTTATCTATTGTTGAGTTCGGCTTTACACTCTGTAAACTCTGAGCGCGCGATAAGATCCTGTTTGGTCTAGCACTCAGTGTTCGCTTTTGCGTTCGGAATCGGGTTACAATCGAGCACGTACCCTTAATCCCGGTGTTCATAGACGTGTGCTTGGCTCAAGCTCCGATTTTTGACAGTTGTGAGCATCGTTCCGTGCCGTGTTGTTTGGAATAGCAAATATGGCGTCAAGTCGTACTTGAGCCAAGACGCAACCTTGAGCATCGACTATGAATACGGGCTAAGCTCCAGGATAATACACACTACTACTACAGGATAGTCTATCCTCATAAGGTCTGTGTGGAACAAATCTGAAGCCCCCCACCGCGCCTAATCACCAGCTGTGACGTAAGGCAGCATGTCCTTTCTCGCCTTGACGTAGGCTCTGCACCACAGGTTATGATTCCGCAGGCTTTTGCTTTAACGCATACTTGGTTTTACTACATCAATTAACATTCCTGAAACAACTCTTTTTAGATCTCGTTTTGATCTTCCAGCATATTATTGCGTTAATCAAAATCAAATAATATTTTTCATCATAAATTTAATTCTAAACTTCGACCTCTAATGCAAACAGCTGACGACTTGCTAATAACGTCAGAAATGGTGACACACCAATATGGCGGCGATTACCAAAGACGAGACCGATAAGCAATCCTAGTAGTATATATGTGGCATAACACGAAAAACAAGAACAAAAATAAAACAAGTGTGTGTGCAAGAAGAACAAAAAACGATTCCGTCAACAGCTGTTGTCAGAAGCTACGGAATGGTTCTCGATCCGAGTTGTCTCGCATCGAGTACGTTCGTAATGGCTATTCCGAAAAAAGATGGAGGATTCGATTTGTAATCGGGCCCCAGGAAAATTAGTTATCAACTGTCACTTTTTAAAAATTATGACAAAATATTGTAAAAAAAAATTAATTCGGTTTGAGCTTCCGGTATTTTTCCCCAGATTTTGTGATACTACACCAACCAACCAACGGTAGTCGGTAGTAGGCAACCATCCAAATTCATCGAAACTAGGGGCACGTTCGAAATCACCGTGGGCGTCACACCGAGTGCACACCAGCCATGAATTATTCATGGCCGGTAGATACCGGTCGGAGTTCATCTCGGCATCGAGTCGGTTCCGACTTCAACAAATTCTTAACTTATTTCGAGTCGTAGTTCGTAGCACCGACTAAAATTGTTGGTCACACTGCATTTTGACTGGTCATATGCTATTATTTGTTATTGTTATTAACCTAAAATTGTATTTTTGTTGAGTGGAATATTATTTAAATTAAACATTTATAATGTAATCTAGTCAGTGGCGCAATTAGGGGGGGGCTGGCTCAAGATTAGCCCCCCCAAACCCGATGGTCACAAACATGATGGTGATGACACAAATTAGCCATCCGCCCTCCCAAACCCAAGCAAGCAGATCTGAGTCGCTTTCCAGTGACGCACTTTAAGCACTCCTGAGCTGCTCTAAAGCGCCCTGGACTGTTTATAGGCGTTCCAGTGTATTAGAGTTGCCCGCAACTGAACTGTTCGTTTTTCCTCTGCCCTCTCAAGCACCTGCTATTTTATGGGGCAGGGCCGCAACTAGGGGGTGGCGAACTAGGCGCCCGCCTAGGGCGCCGGAGTATACGGGCGCCGAAGGTGCCTAATTTAATCCATCCATATTTTACAGTTCAAAAAAATGCAACGGATTTACGCGTCATTTGTCGTAGCACGGAAATTTATTTTATTTTGAACCATATATGTAATTTTCACATTCCTTACTGGTTTGAAGGTTCGAAAATGTCACTTTACTTTTGTTTACTTTAAAGCAGGCCGAAAGTGACTGTTCTCCTGTCACTTTCGGCCTGGAAAACTCACTTTCGGCCCTGATAAATTGTTCATTCAACCTACATAAACACATATCCAGGTGCAATGTTCAAAATAAAATAGTATACATAATTCGGTGGAAAGTTTTCACATTATTGTCTCGAGAATTGGGTGTAGTATGTCTCGACAATAATGAAACACTTTCCACCTCCGCATGTAATATTATTGCTTGTGTTGTCAAACTCAGTGCGCGTGCAAAAGGCAGCAGCAAATTGCAATGTCTGTGATAAATTCAAGTATTGATGACATAGCCAGAGATTAGCTTCGAGTCGAACTTTGATCCGACCAAACTGAGCAAGAGCACTGTGGGCGACATGGGCGCCCTCTGCATGCTGCATGCATTATCTCTTTTGACTTTTTTCTATTTAGCCGTTTACGAAAACTATAATCGGGTTAACCCGATCAGCAGCTGAATGTTTTCTATCTTTCCCTAATGAATACGATTGAAAAAAGGCAATAGCCGCTTTCCAGTATGCACATTGGCGCGCTCTGGCGCGCTGCAGAGCGCCTCGGGGGCGCCACGCACTAGATTTGTACCGTTCCAGTATCATGGCGTGAGACGCCTGTCTTAGTGTCAAATATGTCAAATTTTAAAAATAATTATTTGTTTGTGCAGTTTGTTTTTTTATTTATCAAAAATGAAAGAGAATCAAAACTATATATTTTAAAATGTTCAATCTTGAGATATAACAAGAAATAAATAGATAAATAGCCACCCACAGATGTGACAGCTGATAGGTTGACGCGTACGTACAGCTCGGGGGCTCAACGCCCCGAGTAGCTCCGGGCGTCACACTCCCATACTGTAAAGCGGCTAATATACTTCTGCTGGCGGTCGGGTTAGCCCGATCATAGTTTCCGTAAACAGCTTTTACTTTTACAATAGCTTCGTTTGCGGTAAGGATTCTGAACTGGTTCGAAACTATTTCGCATGCGCAGTTCAAGTAATGGCGTTCGCAGATCACAAAATTCCGAACTTTTAGTTACGGTTCTGGATTCGCGGATCAACCAGAATCGGTTCGGAACCGTTTCTGAACCAGTTCTGTTCTAGCGGTCCTAGGATTTTAGCAAGAACTTTAGGATTGACACATATTTAACGTTCGTTTACCTATTAGCCTATCCAAAACATGTGACTTTAACAAGCAAACAAAGGAATGTGTGCCTCTTGGCGGACATTTTAATTTAAGTTTGACAGCATTTTGGATAGTCTAATTAGACAGTCTGGAGAACTCGTTCCAAAACTGTTCGCGATAAAATAATGGCGTTTTCCATTTGTTGCACGGAGGACGGAGGTGCACTCAGTGCAATTTTCATTCCATTTGACTGTACATTATCAGTTTTTATTTTCCATTTGAAATCCAGTGCAATTATGTATGCACTCAGTGCGCATTTTTTGGCCCATGGAGAGCCAAACCATCAAAAAATATATCTATTGTTACCTTCAGAAGGCGGTGGAGGGGCGCCAAAATTTGGACTTGCCTTGGGCGCCGTGGGTTCTAGTTGCGGCCCTGTTATGGGGGCATGAAAAACACGAAGCTTAAAGTAGGGTGCGTTTCAGTGACACAACAGTTTTTTAACACTTTGGTCTGCTGGTCCGTAGTTCGTCTGCTGTTTGTGCACTTAGGAGAAATTTAATTTAACAGAACTTGTTTCAGTTTTTAAGTTGTTTTTAGTACCGATTTAAGTAGTTTAAGAAGTTTTAAACTCAATATATTTTTACTTACATATTATGTATGTATGTACAGGGTGAGTCATTTTGGGTGGGAATGCCGGGTACAGCCTAAACGGTTATAGATACAAAAAATCTGATATTAGTGTCGCGATCTATTTTTTTGAGTTTAACGGACCACTCAGAATTTTTCGAAATTCATTTGTTTTCGATATACAGGGTTTTTTTGGAAAATAGTTGATTTCTGTTTTCCTCTGTATCTCAGTTATCAAATATTTTAAAAAATGTCAAATTCCTTTTTTGTGTGATTTTTTACATAGAATCCAGTGGCGTACTCAGATTTTTTTTAGGGGTATGGGTAGTCAAAATTTCAACTTTTTTAAATGGGACTCCCTATATATTTTCACACGTTAAATTAGTTTTTTTTTTGTGATTCTAATGATATATAACACTTTATAGTTTCAATAATTTTAACTGTCAAAACCGCGAAAAAACTAAATTTTTAGGGTACCTATAGAAGTTAATTGTTCCTCGGATTTAGCGATCGCGAACACAAACGTAGTACGGCGGTAACGGGAGCAAGTGCGGTAGCGACACGGGATTAGAATTATCAAAAAATGTGGTGGGATATAATACATTTCATCCTAAAGGTAGGCGCAGACTGACGAGGGCCTGCGGAAGCGGGGCGGGAACGAAACTTTTGCGGGACGTAAATCAACGGCGAGATATGAAGAAGTGCATACCGGTACGGAGAGAACGCATGCGATTCGCGGGATGTGTGCGAATTAATTTCGGTTCGTAGCGTGCAGCGTTTTCCCGCAGTTTGCATAGTAGTTTGATGATGTTTTTGTATTGTTTGGACGCTACCACGTGTTTCGAGTATGGCAGAAACTATCGCATTGGTGTGCATGCTATACAAACTCCTTGCTGCCGCATCTAATGTATCGCTCCCGTTCCCGCTCCCGCTACCGCAGTCACGCGTCAATCTGCGCCTACCTTTAAACGTTATTTCGCTTACATACCCTGCCACATGTTCTAATCCCGCGACGCTGCCCCTCCCGTAGTACCGCACTGTTGTGTAGGATCCTTCAATTTTTTTAATGACTATTTTTAATAAAACAAATCATATCCAGCCGTGGTTCGTTTAATTTTATTTAAAATGAAATATTTCAATTTTTTAACAT